AGGATGGATAAGTAGCAGGAGTAAGGATGAACAAGTCTCAGGAGTAAGGATGAAGTATCAAGAATAAGGGCGGATGAATAAGCATTTGAAGTCCTGGTGAAAAATGTAAATGATGGATGATAAATCAGGATGATATATCAGAGTTGGACTGGATGAAAATAATTCATTCATCATATGTCAAGGTTTTCAAAATCTGGGATTTATTTATATTTTAAAGTCTGATCTGGTTTGAAGGGGGGGGGGGTCTGCAGATGGCTTGCTTCTGATTGAAATGTGTATTTGTTGGGACAGATTAAGCCTCCCCAATGCATTTTGTAAATTTTGCCATTTTTACCAAAAATCGGAACAGATGGTTCCAGGGGGGGGGGTTTAAGATGCCACTTTTAAATTTTCTACATTTTAGGTTTTGGGTTTAGTTGAAGTATTCAAATGCAGCTCAATGAGAAATGGAAGGATGTGACTGTAATCTTTTTAGCTCCAGACAGTGTCCAATACAGAAGTACATGTAAAGTTTTGTAGTTTTCACCCCCCCCCCCCTCTTCAACGTTTGATATGAATGCACACACGCGCCTCTGAATATGACAATACGAGATATTGAATTATATTGAGCAGAATAACTCATAGAGCAGAGGTTTTATATTTGAGCTTTACTCCAGGTTCTACTTTATATACAAGGGTTTCTACTCAGGGTTTTATATACTCCGGGTTCAATATAGTTATGGTTCTACTCAGGGTTCCATATACTCAGGGTTCTATATAGATAGGGTTTTAATCAGGGTTCTGCTTACTCCAGGTTGTACTCAAGAGTTCTACATACTCAGGGTTCTATATACTCCGGGTTCCATATACTCCTGGTTCTGTATACTCAGGGTTCTATATACTCTGGGTTCTGTATACTCTGGGTTTTATATACTCAGGGTTCTTTAGACTCAGGGTTCTATAGACTCAGGGTTCTATAGACTCAGGGTTCTATAGACTCAAGGTTCTATAGACTCAGGGTTCTATAGACTCAGGGCTCTTATACTCAGGATTCTGTAGACTCAGGGTTCTATAGACTCAGGGTTCTATAGACTCAGGGTTCTATAGACTCAGGGTTCTATAGACTCGGGGTTCTATAGACTCGGGGTTCTATAGACTCTGGGTTCTATATCTCCGGGTTCTATTTACTCCGGGTTCTATTTACTCCGGGTTCTATATACTCCGGGTTCTATATACTCAGGGTTCTACTCAGGGTTCTATATACTCAGGGTCCTATAAACTGAGGTTTCTATATACTTGGGGTTCTATATACCCAGGGTTCTTAATACTCAGGATTCTATATTCTCAGGGTTCTATAGACTCAGGGTTCTATAGACTCAGGGTTCTATAGTATCAGGGTTCTATAGTCTCAGGGTTCTATAGACTCAGGTTTCTATAGACTCAGGGTTCTATATACTCAGGGTTTTATAAACTCAGGGTTCTCTATACTCAGGGTTCTATAGACTCAGGGTTCATAGACTCAGGGTTCTAAATACTCAGGGTTCTATATACTCAGGGTTCTATGTACTCCGGGTTCTATAGTCTCAGGGTTCTGAATACTCCAGATTCTCTTATGGTTTGTGTCGGTAGAATACGACATCTTATTCCCGGGTTTTTCTCCGGATGTTTTCCATCCGTTCAAGGACGGAGTAAAGGCCCGGGGTGAAACATTCAAGAAACTACTCTTAAACTCGCTTCCAAGTTTCAACACTGAATATTCAATCAACCAATATTTTTCTTCTCTTACATTTAATTAAACCACTACTTTTAAAACACCCCACGGTTCATTTGGGTCATTTATGGTCAAAATTCGTATGGATGTATAGCGTAACATATAAATATAGAAGAAGAAGGGGAATTCTATATATTTCTGTTTTTCAGTAGCAGCTGCCATTGGGGAGGGGCGGGGGTTGGGGGGGAGACCAAAAATCAGCGAAAATAAAAATGACTTTGGCGTATTTCTATTATTGTTGAAGGTACAGATGTGTTTTTATGTTTAGTCTGTATGAACAGGGGCAACAAACGAGAATAAAACAAAATTTAATTTTCAAAGGTAATTTTTTTTAAATTGTATAAAATGAAGTTTTAGTTAATTATTTCTTTTTGTATCGTTTTGTAAGAAGTCCCCCCCCTCCCCCCTCGCGGATGTCTACACCCCATTTTCATTTTCCCAAATTTTGCCACCAAAATAACGATTCAGACTCAAATAGAAGTAATGATTTTTTTTCCATTGAAAAAATGTCAAAATTTACCCGACAAAAGTAAAAAATGGCTGAATTCATATTTAGAGAAAAATAAAAGATTTAAACGTTTTGGTAAATGAAGATATTAAACCTATAGCACGTCCGGAACTACAAAAGAGAGAAATCGGTCAAGTTTTATTTCCGGTTATTCAGCAGCCATGTTATTATCCTCTTTTCTAAGTTTTATATCCGGGATTTAGTTTGTTCATATCCTAGTTCTCTGTACTCACGTCAACATCTAGCTTCCTATCTTCTTTATATATGAACAACTACTTCCTATTCCCCCTACTGGACCCCCCCACCCCCCCCTGACTAAATTCCTGAAACCGCCCATGGACCCGTGCATACATAAAGGGGTTGTTTATCGTTAGCAAAATGCCATGCCTTCGGTCAAAATCCCGTAGTCAGCTTTCTCCCAGGGATGTTTCTACCCTGCTAACCTTTAAATGATCACAATCACTTTTTTTTAAAATTTCTCTAATAATAATCATTCGTTCACGTACAGAAGGTATAAGACACAAAAATGGCGTCCCTGCGCGCGCATCATGCCGCCATTAATTGATTTCTGTTCGAACAATCCTTTTCATGTCGTCATTTTTCTATGTTTATAATCAATATCGATAATAATAGTATCTAATAAACATTAGACATTAGACACATCACACACAAAGTAAAATAGCAATGTACTGAGTCTGTGTCTAATTTGGACATCGTCACGTTTATTTTCAGAAATGTAGGTCCACTTTAAAAAGACTTGAAAGTTTTATTTATAATTTTTGATAATATATATATACTTTCCGATTTATCTTTGAAATTTTGAATAATGCAAGATTTTCATTACAAAATATACATTTCTTGTAAAAGTAAGAAAATAGACATTACATAAAAAAAGTTTGAAGCTTGTCTCAAAAATACCCTAAAAAGTTGAAATGTCAGAATGTCAAGAGATCTTCTAAAATAAAAAAATTAATAAATCTTGAAAATGAAGGTTCCGTACAAAAATGCTAGTCTCCGGATGTTAAAAAAAATATCGAAATAACAGGACACGGTGCACTGTCAGCCCGATTGATTTTAGTTTTGAATGACCAACAATGGTGAATGGGTCAAACCAGCTGTCCCCCTGGCAGGGGGGGGGGCAAAAATGGCACGCGACANTGGGGGGCAAACAATAAGATCATGTTTTTGAAAGGACAATAAACCGTCAAAATATATATCTTATAGTTCATTCTCACCTCTCAGTGGTGTATTCTGTACACTGTATTCTATACTGTACAGCGTTGTAAAGCGTACAGTATAAATCTGAATGTAAACAGCTGCTAGAAAAGGATTAAACCCTAAAATAAAAACTAAGACAGGGGGGTGGAGGGAATTTTCCCCAGATAAGGACGCAAACAACATTATTTCAGCATCATTGGAGATATTACTGGATTGGTCAAATGTTGGATTTACTTCAACCCCCCCCCCCCCCCCCCCCCCCTCCCCCCTTTCCAATCCCAACCTGAAAATCAGCGCGTGTCGTAATTTGCAAAGTTTATCATAAAACTTCGTTAAAATCCCCAAGACGCTAAGATCCCCCTTGTTAATCCTTAAAACGGGCAAAGCGTGGCAAATGTGTAACCTCTGAAAAGTTTAAATGTCTGTGAATGGAAGAGCTTGGAAGGAGTTTATGGGACGGAATGTGAAATTGACCAAGAGAAGGGACGCCGCATTTTCGAGAACGGATTTTTAGAAATTGTAAAATTGTATTCATCAACGTCATACGTTTATTCATACTACTACAAAATACTGCTATTTATTCACTATATTTGGTTTTCTAAATAATCCGTCTCTTCATCAATTCATTAATCTCATTCAAATCCCTCCACCATACTGAAGGTTTAAATAGAAGGTTTTAAACAAATTAAATGTCTGATTACTTTTTGCATTTTTTTTTTATAAATTTTCATTAATTTTATTTTTTTTATTTTATATTCAATTTTTCATTTTATTCAAAAGTTTTTTTATTAAATCCCATTTTCATTTTCTTTTTTCTCTTTTTTTTCTCTCTTTTCCTCTCTTTCTCTCTTTTTTCTCATCTTTCATTTATCCATCTGACCGAGTATCTGGTGCTACCCTGTGGTCAGACCTCTACCCTGAGCATGTGCTACAGGACTAGGAGACAAAACTGCATTTTGCTCCTCCCCGAACCCTGACCTTAGATTATCCTCTTCTATTGAACAAGTTTTCAATTCAGGGTTTCATCATTTGAAGGTTTAACCACAAAACTCAGAGAATAGACTAGAAAAAAGATATCTTTAAAAGCGACAAGGCATAATTTTAGATTCGATTCACAACGGTACCATAAAACTTTATCTTATCAAGAATCAATGAGATTTCCATGCTTATCTCTTTAAAGTTTGAATTATTTTCTTTGGGGTTTCTCTATAAAAGCTACTTGCGGATTTATTGCTACAGAAACAACGGAGGAAAGTGTTGAATAGAATACTTTTTAAGCTAGAAAAACGAAGATATCTTCTGCATTATAAATCAAATAAAATGTTAATGGCATGGCCCTCTTTAAATGGAGTTAAAAAGTATAAACTTTTATGAATTCAAAGAACAGTGTGTAAATCGTAATGTACTATGTCTTCAAATTGAACAAAAAATTAGTATTCAAGGCATGCGATATGTGTGTTATCAAGAACTAGAAAAGGATTATTTTAATTTCGACAAAGCTTCAGTTTTGATACGAGACTGGGACTAAAAACTGGGTAAACAATCTTACACTATCATGCATTCAAATTCAATATGAAAAATTAGCAATGACGTTATTAGCTTTACTTATTAATATCTTACCTATTTCCCCCTCCCCATCTTTCCTTTGAAAATCGACCGGCTAGTAATTATAATTTTTGAAAGAAAATATATTTATATTTTTTCATCTGACCATTGCAGCTGCTACGGCTGTATTTTCATACACAGTTGGACCTCCCCCCTCCCCCCTGGAGAGCAGAAGAGGGGGGGGGGTTGCCCAGTATGAAAGGGTTACGCGAGGATAGAGAGGGGTGGGGGTATGTCGGATGTAAGGCCTTTCTACGAACTGACCAGTATATTACTTAATTTTAAATATGTGTACAGATAAATGTAAATTTTGAATAGAATTTTCTTCTTAAAAGAAATAATCTTTAAATCTTTTTTAGTAATTGTCTGAATTTAAAAGAAGGAAGGTATGAAGGGTAGTGGAGGAGGGGGGAAGGGGGGGGGTCCTAAATATATATTCTTTGTCCACACATGTGGGAGGAAACGGTGAGTGTTAAGTGTATTTTTAGCTCCCGGCGTTACTGTCAATGGGTCAAAAGAATATTAAAGGTGTTTTAAAAAAAACCAAAACAATTAGTTTAATTAAAAATATTTAAAACTTTAAAAATGTCAGTGGTTGATAAGTTTTAAGAAAAGAAGTCAAATGAGAAATAAAGAAAGAAAAAAAATATTTAATTTTTCTTTCTGTAAATTCCTTTTTTTATAAGTTTTTTTTAATAAACTTATCTTGTCCCCCCCCCCCTATCCTTCCCATTCTGTTTGGTTTAAGAACACCCTACAAAAAGTAGAATCTATTTGGAGGTTAAAAATGGAAAAGGATATAAATTTGGGGGATTTCTCGTATTTCAAACATAGAAATAATAACTGACCATATGCTAGAGACGCCACGCTATACAGTGTCACATTTTTCTTGAAAATAATTTTGCGGATTTTTAGGTTAAATTCAAATTTTAGCCCAATACTAAAGTTCATTAAACCGAGAATGGACATTTTGGATTCATATTTCATTATTCATCTTCAATATATTCAATTCAATAATTTAACTTAGTTTTTACGTTAAATTTAAATATACAATATAAATACATTCTTGAATCTTTTTTATTTAGCTTATTTCGTCCGTCTGTTTATTTATTCGTCTATTGTCCAAGTGCATCTTCAGCCATATTACAAACCGGAAATGCCTTTGAGATGTCTCCAGCTCCCTCTTGCGGCTGCACATAAAGACCGGAAATAGTAATGCTTCTATTTAATTAAAACTGAAACGAGAAAAATTAATATTTCTGATCATATTTTGTCATCGTTTCCGTCCTATTAATCATTTTCGTCCTATTAGTCTTCTCCTTGATATCAATCTTTTCAATCCTTTCTGTCTTATCAGTCCGTCATATAAATCCTATCTGTCCTATCAAACCTCTGTTATATCAATCTTTTTCGTCCTATAAAATCTCTCCGTAAAATCAATTCTCTCCGTCCTCTCAGATTTCGCCATTTTCAACCCTCTCCTTTCTATCAATTTTTCATCATCTCATCAATCATCTCCATCTCTCTTATTCCATCCAACCTATAATTCCCCTTCATCTCCGTCCTATCCATCCTCTCAGTCCTATCGAAACTTTCCGTCCTATTATTCCTCTTTGTCTTATTAAATCTATTCGTTCTATCATTCCTTTCGACCTATCGATCATTTCCGTCTTCTTTCCTATAAATCCTATCTATCCTGTCAATGCTCTTCGTCCAATCTGTCCTCTTTGTTCTATCAATTATCTCCGTCCTATTTATTCTCTCCGTTCTATTGATTCTCTCCGTTCTTTTGATTCTCTCCGTTCTATTGATTCTCTCCGTTCTAATGCTATTAGCAGAGGAAGTATTAACGGATTATTATGTAAAATAAATTTGCTCACTTTTTAGTTCCTATCATACAATACAATCTTTTGATTTACAAAATTGGGTTAACAATGATATAATGAAGAGGATTTCTGTAATTGATATTTATGTTATGATGCTTTAGATCTTAAATAAGAATAAAATGAGGTTTCAGTAGCTCTCTTAAATCTCAGTTCCCCCCTCTCCACTCTATTCAAATTTAACGTATTTTTAGAGATGTGGCTTTTTGGTCAAATAGCAAATTTTATCCCCAAATGGTCAGCTGTCTCGCTTCTTCCTCCAGCTGCCCTTGTGGGGGTGGGGGTGTTAACCCTCCGTGGGGTTGAGGGGGGGGGGGCGGGGGTACCGGTCATTCAGTTTTGAACGCCCCCGCAGTAGTACTTGGTACTCCCAGGAGCTTAGACTGTGAATTCTAAACCTATTGTAGTCAACACCTTGTGATATACAGATACCAAACACATGACATAGATAGATAGATAGTGAAATATATTAATATACAATATTTGTGTACGGAAAGTTATGTACAGTTATTAATCAATTAATTCATTATGAACTGGGTTCAGGATCAGTGTATGATGTTGAGCTCTCAGGCCCCGCCCCAAGGGGGCGTGTCTTCCTCAGGACCTCATCCTCCAGCCTTGCATAGGCTGCCTCCAACAAGCCCGGCCCTGCCTCCGACCTCTCCTCAGATAGCGTATGAAGGACGGGTTTCTCTGCTCTCCAACTCCGGGACGGGAGAAGCTTGGCCTCATCCTCCACATTTTCAGCAGTTTAACAGCCTCAACTTCAACCTTATCCACAACCCTTTCTCCAGGAAGGAATCTGATCTTGGGTATGGTCTGGAGCAGGATAGAGAAACGTCTCCGAGTAGTGCTGGATCTCCAAGGACGGATGAAACCATTGATAAATCCTCGGACAAACTCGACAGATCTAATGATATCTTGGAAAAATCCTTTGATACAAAACCTGATCAAGGACGGACGGAGGAGGAGAAAACCTCTCTAGATATTCTCAAGGAGCATATTAGAGCACAGCTCCCGAACCCTCCGACGGAGGAGGACGATGTTGAGGGCAGGTCTCCGGATGAGAGAAGTTCTCCAGGGGAGGAGGAGAACTTGGTCGTACCCCCGTCCCTCTCTATACGTCGGGACATACAAGAGGAGGGAAGATCAGAGGACCTCCGAAATATATCGGAGGAGAAGGGTGAGGAGTTTGAGGAGGAAGAAGAAGAACTTAGGATAGATGAAGAAATGGAAGAAGAGGAACGAGGTAAACCTCAAATTTTATTTTAGTTTAGATTTTAAACCCCTCTCCAATCATGAAATAAATGGAAATTGCGTCTCTTAATTCTTAATTATTTTTGCTTCATGAGTCAGTCTCACAAATTGCGTCATTCAAATAGAAATTATGATTTCTAATAATTAAGATTTTTTTTCAAATAAAAAGCGCTTCCTTTAAGTTTGTTTAAAAAATGCATATATACGTATTAAAATGTTTGATCAAAAGTTAACTCAAATCTTTTTTATAATCTTATCAATTGCGTTCAATATTTTAATAATTCTTAGAAGTTACTTGATTAGATAAACGACTGCGTGGTATAAAAACTATCTGGAATTAACATTATTATATAGATATGCAGGACCTCTTTTATTCTTATCGATTTTAAAACTTGATCTACTAGTTTCCAACCAATGAGAGAAGAGATGAGATTAGCTCAGATCTCTGAAACCTCCCTCGCCGCGGCGAGTGGACGAGGTTGCGTGTTTTTTATCTCAGACAATTACGTAATCTCAATTATTATCTAGACTTGGATCAATTTGAAACCCTGGATAAAAGCGTAGAGAAGCTTAATCCGTTTGTTGGATTTCAACCATACCTAGCGCTGAAAAATGAAGAGGATGGACTTAATTCGTTGGAGAAATTGCAACAGGTATTTGCAAAAAATATTATTATGTGTCACTGTTGCAAATTATGAACTAGATATTTCATTTATTTGAACGTTTATGCCCCGAAATTCCTATAGATTTACAAGATGCATTCGGAAGAAATAGCATATCTTTCATATTCTAAATACCTATGATCCTCAATTTTAAACATCTCAGTTACAATTGAGTAAATAATATTCTATGCAGTATGCACAAATTAATAATAATTTTGTTCAGGTTTTGAACAATCGAATGTTCAGTCCGCGTGACAGGACTGTTGAACAGATAAGGGCGGAACCGAACGGAAACGGAAACCATGTTGATGAGAACGGTAAGAAAATCAGCCCCCCCCCCTCACTACCTACATACAAGACCGTAAAGAGTTAATAAATAGTAAACTCGCAATTCTTTAGTTTATCTTGCAGATTTTATAGTTTTTCATATTTTCTGTATTTTAGGAGAGTTTAGGTTCATATTACCCCCAGATGAGGAGGGCATGGTTTATCAATGCCATCTTTGTTCTTTTACAGGTAATTAATGTTAAAATAGTCCTTTTATCAATATATTAATTAGGATCCCGTGTATGTAAATTTATATATTTGTTAAATGATACATTTATTTAATGACGTGAAGAAAATTTTCAAATTCATCCTACCATTAGTTATTTATGTGGGAAGTATCAATTTCCAAACAATTTAATTAGCTGAAATGAAGCATTCCTTTCATTCAAATTCTATAAATCGGAAAACTATGAAGACGACTTTCATGCGTGGCATATATTCTTATATTCATTTAAATGTTCATTACTACTGCTAATTTATATTGACATATATTTTTTTTCAGCCACAACTCGAATCCAGTTTAACGCCCATGTAAACTCTCACTATACCTTCCAGTGCGTCAAATGTGATTTTGAGGATAAGGTAAAAAATTAGTTTTTCATGAACTTAAAACATGTTAAACATTACATAACTCGAGAAAAAAAATTTAACATTAAAAGTTAATTCTTGATTTATTTAAATTTTCAACTGGTTGACGCGTTATATGACAATATTTGTCCAATGCACTGTTTTAAATATTTGATTATACAAGAGGTCATTTTTAATTTGATATTCTTGTTTAGAGCGAGAGTATTTATGTTCGACACCTGAAAGAGGAGCATAACTGTACTCCGGAGGATCTAGAAGAGGCTGAGGTAGGAAGCAAGGGAAAAGGGGTAAGGAACGATAAGGTGGAGGATGAGGGTGGGGGGAGAGAATGGGAAGGGTTTTGGATTTCTCAGACTTCTTTGTTTATGATGTGTTTAAACTTGTATTTTTTCAAGGTTCGAGTGCCAAGAGTTAATTCTCAGGGGAAAGTAAAAACCTTCAAGTGCAAGCAATGTGAGTTTGTTGCTGTCACCAAAATAGAGTTCTGGAAACACGGACGAGGTAGGGAAACCCGCGAAAACGCGCCATTTTGATTTTTTCCGCCATTTTTAATGTATAACATTATCATAATCAATCTTATTTTAGGACACATCAAGCCTGAGAAACTGCTCTGTTGTCCTAAATGTATTTTTGTAACTGAATACAAACATCATCTCGAGTACCATCTTCGTAACCATTATGGTAAGTGCATTGAACAAAGTGTACAACTCTATATTTTCTGTTATTTATCTCACCAAGTGCTCTTGTTTATTCTTGATATTAATAAATCTATTTATAGGAACTAAACCGTTTAAATGTACCCACTGCAACTACAGCTGTGTAAACAAGTCTATGCTGAATAGTCACATGAAGTCTCACACCAACGTCTACCAGTATAGATGCGCTGATTGCACGTAAGTTGATCTTTTTTTTGATACAATCTTGAAGTACCCATAATATAAGAAAACATTTTTATTTTCAACATTTGAAATTTTTTTATAACTAAGATAACTTGTTGTTTAGGTACGCTACGAAATATTGCCATTCCCTGAAACTTCATTTGAGAAAATACGGTCACAAGCCAGCAATGGTTCTCAACAATGATGGAAGTCCAAACCCTCTTCCCGCGATGGAGATGTTTGGCGGAAAGCGTCCTAAGGGAAGGAAGGAGGACATGTATCCACCAACCATGCTGCCCCAATTCCCCTCCATTCCTCCCAACTTCATGCAAATGCAACTTCAGCACTTACAGAACCAGTTTGGACATCCCAAGATGCCCCAACCCCCTCCCCAGTTCCATCTCGAAGACCCTGGCAAGTACGCTCAGAAACTCGGAGAAGCATCAAACGGAAACCACTCCCCAACCTTTATGGGCGGAGACGAACAAATGGGTTGCGATAAGTGCGAATTTTCAACATCTTCTAAAGAGGTTTTCAGAAATCATCTCATGCTGCACGCCAGCTCAGAACGAAGCGCGCTTCATCATCTGCTCACATCACCGCTCCAGCACGGAAAGCGATCATTCTCCGACCTGAACAAGTCTGGGGAGGACTTCTCTTATTCTCCGAGGATCCGGAGTAGGAGTCCATCCTCTCCCTCCTCATCCTTCGGTATGAGAAGTATAGATAAATCAGATTCACCAACAAGTACTTCATCCTTTCCTCCACACCTCTCATACTTTAACAAGCTTGCCATGTCGAGCCCTCTTCTTCAAGGACTAGTTCCTAATCCTGCAATAAGAGCACTTATGGAGGAGCGACACAAGGAGGCTCTCAGGGAAGAACGTCACAAGGAATCGATGAGAACCACACCCGACTCTATGAGAGACTCCTTGAGAGACACCCCGGAGTCCCCGTTGTCCCGTGAAGGTGCCCCTCTGCCCCCAAACAAGAGACATAAATCTGATATATTCTCTGCTCTCTACGCCAGTAGGATGAATGAGATTGAGAAAGCTGAGTCTCCGAATGGAGCCTTGGACCTTAGTAAGGAAACAGTAATTGGAGGCGGTTCACATGGAAGCTCCTCCGATGTGGATACTGGTAGTAATCCGCGAAGCCATTCCTCCAGTCCGGCGCTGTCCTCTAACAGCAAGAACAGGAGGAAGGGGAAGGCTTTTAAGATAGAGCGGCGGACAGATCGGGACTCAGAGGAGGAATGCGTCAGTTCAGCCATGCCGAGCCTAGTTCCCATTCCACGCAGCGCGCACGAGGACCCGTTCCAGAATAGTACAGCGTGTAAATTTTGCGGAATTGCGTTCCAGAATTCTGTGATGTTCCGGATGCACATGGATTATCATGGATTTGAGGATCCGTTTAAATGTTCCCATTGTGGGGAAGAGGCAGTTGATGCCCTTGCGTTTTTTCTTCACATTGCCCGGCGAGAACATGTATAGTCTATTACACAAGAAAATTTTCGCATTTTTTTTGCATATTTAACATAATGGCTAAATTTTTACTAGAAGCGTGGCAATTTCTGTAATTTATTCTCTTGATAAAATTACAATTTTAGCGAGAAAAAAATGCAAATTGATTGTAGTTGTTTGATCAATTTTTAAATCAAAGATAAAAATAAATCTATTTTATATCAACGTATATGTACATAATAAAAACTATGTCCTATAACTGATCTGGAGTTAATGTTGAAACTGTTCTCCTGGTCGGCTCTAGTGCTTCGTGATTTCCTAATGATTATAGTCCTGTTAACATACGCCACATTGTAATATATTGTTCCTCAATTTACGGGTTTTCAAATGCTGATCGATAATCAAAAAGAAAACAAGCTTTCAAATAATTATTTTTTATAACTTTAATATTTTTCAAAGTAAAACATGTGTTGATTTGTCAAAGAATTTATTGGATGGAAATATTATGAGGCTTGTTTACTTGAACCAGTGTACATAAAAGTTATTTAATGTACATAAGTAGAGTGCCCTGTACCTGCTGTAAACGTACGGCAGTGTTGTACTTTATCTAGTATTTTCTGAAATATATTGCTTAGCAAAATGATATTTAAGTTTATCTAATGTTTTAAATTATCCACTATGATGGTTCATAATAAATAAAAATTATCTAGAATGTGATTTTCTTTAAAAAATAATGATCAAGTTTTTTTAATTAACTCTATTTTACACACAAGATTGTATCTCTAGTGCGGTAAGATTCTTTAAAGTTAAATTTAGTCTTTCACATTCTCCAATATTTTGTACATCTCGTGAAACATACATGAAACATCATACTGAAACAAGAATTAGAGAAAAGTTTTAAATTATTTATATTCCCGCAGTAAATAATTTTCTGGAATATTTGATTTTATTTAACTCTAATAATGTCGATACGCTGTTGGTTTTGTGTACACTGAACTAAAGAAATGATCGCGGATTCTTTATTAATATTTTTTGCAGATTTCCTTAAATCTGAAGGAAAGACATATTGTTCAGAATAAATATAAAATGGAAAGAAGGAAAAAGAAAGAAAATTTTAAAAACGAAAAAGAAGAAATATTTATGGTTTCTATAGTATTCAACATAAATCTCGACATAGTACAGGGTGGAAGCACTGAAGAGACAGACCACATTTGGAAATGCCAAAACTATATGTAGGTATTTTGTGACTATTAGCTCTAGAATCTTACTTCTAAAATTTGATTTACGAATAAACTATTGCAAAGATTAAAGACGACATTATAGTCGTCGTACTACTATCAAGGTTATAATGCAAGGAAAGTTATTTGAGAATTGTTCGCATCTTTTGTACTGCAGTGTACTGTCTCTGGGCGGTAATGTAAACACAAGACGGATGTGAATTATCAAAATTATAAAATTAAATGCTTTTATCCTCTACGGATACTAAACAAACACTGATGCATCTATTCTTGTTTAATAATTCCTCCCAGAGAGAACTGGTTTCAATATGTACGCAGAGTATACGCAACAGCAATTAACTTTCCTTACATTATAATCTTGACTACTATCATGTTTCGTGGGACACCCTAGAGCCCAAAACTTAAGACAGGATATCGTTATGAAAACTAGTTCTGGAACCTGGGTTTCACGGAAGGGGTTAGGCAGTTTTTCGTTTTGAATATTTTAATTATGAAATATTATTTTATATAGTTTTTTCATATTTTCCATTTTTTTCGAATCTCTTTAATCAAAATCTACACAAATATTAAGACCCCAAAAAAGAAACTCGGGAGTTTCGTTCAACGGTACTCTTTTAAATTTCAGGCTCCGACCTAACTTTTTTAAACCAAGCAAAGAATATTCTCTCGCATCTAGTTCTAGCTGTTGTCATAATTTTAGGCAACTCTGTTGAGAAGTTCCTTAGTTATGATCAGACATTTAAACGAACAAACAGAGATTGCATTTTTCTAAACAATTTTGTGCCTCTACTTGAAATTAACACTTACTTAGAAGTCAAGGGACTTAAATTTTTATAATTCCTTTTCTTATCAACTTTTTTAAAAGTTGTATTTGTTTTAATTATAACATAAAATAAATATATTTAGTAAATTTATTTATTTTCATATCAACAAGAATAGGAAATAAAAATAAGAAAGAGATGAGGCTGCAAGAATTATCATTCATTTATGGTTTCTAGTCTTTAACTTTGAAATGCCTTATCTCTATTCTAAACTGATTTTTATAATGTAAAAGTTTTAACTCAGAAAAAAATAAATTTATAATTTTGTCGTTGTTGAAAACAGCTTCTCATTGTATAGATCATCAGAGATCGAACAAAAGAAGCTATTTTTATATATATTTTTCTCTAAAATCTTCAATAATATTTAATAAGTTAAACATTTTCTAACTTGGGAAAATTCAGAAAATGGGCCTGTATTTTTATCGTAACAATTTTTTATCTCAACCTGATATTAACATTAAAAGATAATGAACCTAAATTTCTATAATTCCTTTCCTTAACAACTTATTTTTGTAAGCTGTATTAGTTTTATCAAAAAAAAAGATATTTATTTTCATTACAACATGAATACAGTGATAACCAGAAAACTCTGGAATAGGAAGACGACTTTTAGACTCAATTTATGAATTTAAATAGTTCAATATGCAGGGGATACGGCAATTGTGCAGTGTAAACAGACCCATTTCACTTAATTTGTGATTTAATAAGTAAAACTATTTGCTTTGTAACAACATCAAATACACTTAAGTATTGCTATAAAGTCGTTTTCCTATTTCAGAGTTTTTTGGTTATCACTGTAGAAAAATAATAAGAAGGGGAACAGAAGATACAAGAATTATCATTTATTTAAGGTTAACAATATTTATTTGAAATGCATTACTTTTAGGTTTCTGCATTTGATTGAGTATTTTGATGGTTTACCAAATGGTCAAGCACAGAAGTATGCCAGTTTTGTCTCTGAAGTCTCATCCTGTATGTTGTAATTTGTAATTTCTCCAGTTGTAAAGTCTTAAAAATAAAAGGCAATTTTTATGTTAAGAATCTTTTGTTAAACAGGCAATATTTTTAATCTAAAATCCACAACAAGGTGTCCCACATCATATTTTTATCTAAAATCTACAACAGGGTGTCCCACATCATATTTTTATCTAAAATCTACAACAGGGTGTCCCACATCATATTTGTTATCTAAAATCTACAACAGGGTGTCCCATATCATATTTGTTATCTAAAATCAACTACAGGGTGTCCCCCAACCTATTTTTATCTAAAACCAACAACAGGGTGGTGTCCCACATCATATTTTTATTTAAAATCTACAACAGGGTGTCCAACCTCATATTTTTTATCCAAAATCTACAACTGGGTGTCCCACATCATATTTTTATCTAAAATCTATAACAGGGTGTCCCACATCATATTTTTATCTAAAATATACAACAGGGTGTCCCACATCATATTTTTATCTAATATCTACAACTGGGTGTCCCACATCATATTTTTATCTAAAATCTACAACAGGGTATCCCACATCATATTTGTTATCTAAAATCTACAACAGGGTGTCCCACATCATATTTGTTATCTAAAATCAACTACAGGGTGTCCCACATCATATTTTTATCTAAAACCAACTACAGGGTGGTGTCCCACATCATATTTTTATTTAAAATCTACAATAGGGTGTCCAACCTCATATTTTTTATCCAAAATCTACAACTGGGTGTCCCACATCATATTTTATCTAAAATCTACTACAGGGTGTCCCACATCATATTTCTATCTAAAATCTATAACAGGGTGTCCCATATCATATTTTTATCTAAAATCTACAACAGGGTGTCCCAAATCATATTTGTATCTAAAATTTACAACAGGGTGTCCCACATTATATTTTTTATCTAAAATCTACATTAGGGTGTCCCACATCATATTTTTATTTAAAATCTACAACAGGGTGTCCAACCTCATATTTTTTATCCAAAATCTACAACTGGGTGTCCCACATCGTATTTTTATCTAAAATCTACAACCGGGTGTCCCACATTATATTTTTATCTAAAATCTACATTAGGGTGTCCCACATCATAATTTTATCTAAAATCTGCTACAGGGTGTCCCACATTATATTTTTATCTAAAATCAGCTACAGGGTGTCCCACATCATATTTTTATCTAAAATCAACTACAGGGTGTCCCACATCATATTGTTATCTAAAATCTACTACAGGGTGTCCCACATCATATTTTTATCTAAAATCAACTACAGGGTGTCCCACATCATATTGTTATCTAAAATCTACTACAGGGTGTCCCACATCATATTTTTATCTAAAATCAACTACAGGGTGTCCCACATCATATTTTTATCTAAAATCAACTACAGGGTGCCCCACATCATATTAGGTCGTTTATAGCTCTAGATTAAGATTAAAGGGACTAATCAGTAAACTTAAAAAGAGTGAATTATTTAGAAAAAATGTTCTTGCAGAAAATACCAGGTTTTTTTTAGAATTATATGCGTATTTTTGGACGCTCTGTATGAGTAACAATTTGTAAAATTAACAGCCCTGGGTCTGCATGTTGTTTCTCTACTTAGAGTTATCATTTTATTAAAATAACATATTTACAAAATATATTACACTGCTGTCTGTATCATTTGTATTTTTATTCACATTTTGAAAATTATATGAAAACTCTATTTAACTTTAGTTTTTATTAAAAAATATCATATTTACAAAATATATTACATTTTTAAATTAACATGTTTACAACAATGCAGAATTTCTATTAAATCAATTCGAACATTTTTCTGAAATATCTGTTAAGATCTGGAACTTTTATTGTAATTATTAGAGTGCTATTACACTAAAGTCATGTTCTAGTATTGCTAAGATTGAGTCTTTGCTGATTTTAACCTGTTTATTTTTTGTAAATTCTTTATTTTGTTTCATTTCTTAAATCAAAAATCCATGTCAACCTTTATATCTACAGATCGCCATTGAAGTTGTATACTTTGTGGGAAACCCTAAAAATGAATTACTTCATTTGAAAAAATTATTATAAAGTCGACGAATATTTTACATCAAATAATTGGCAAATATGATTGTAAAAGTAAGTCGAGAATTATCCAGAAGGAAAGACGACATTTTGTCGGTAATAAATATCGTCTTAACACATGATTACTATAAAACATCAACATTTGATAAGAATCCGCAATACATTTATTCAAATGGCTTTTTCATAAAATAAAACATCACTAAACAATGAACTAATTTTATACAATATAAATCACTATGAATAAATAACATTTATCTTATTTTATATATATAAATACGTCTAGCTGAGTTCAGGTATTTACAACTTAAAACATTTGCAGCGTTAAGGGACTGAAAACAGAATTTGAAGTGGCTCTCCATTTGTAATGTGGCACGTCTGATTCACTACGGTACCCTTTCAATCTTTGTCTGATCAGTGATCATGGATATGAATATCTTTCTGGCTGAAAATTGGTTATTTTCAACTGTGTTTTCTCTGTCAAAGTGTATTAGGAATTTATAGAGTAGTGCCAATGAAGGAAACTGTTAGAACCTAACACTTTACCTTCTTGTTAATCAGATAGAGGTTTTAAGGGTACCGCTGTGAACCTGACATGCCATCTCAAAAATTACGCCTTCAGTTTCTTTAAGAATTGATTAACGGTGGAGCTATATCTCTGGACGGTATTCATATTAACTGTCTTGAAGAAAACATAAAAAAGTTGTTTTTTCACTTTTCAAGAACATAAAGAGGAAAACCATGGGATTTTAAAATACACGTGAATGGAAATTTACCAGTACTCCATGTACTAGAATCTACCTAGAAGGAGCGGATTCAATTGCTATGTACCGTCCCATTTTGACTGTGTATGTACTGTACAGCTTGCTCTAGCTAAGTAGTTCCTGTACTTGAAATGAGCCGGAATCTACTGTACATGGAGTCTTTTCATGTCGATATTAGGCCGAATGAAACTCACTATGGAGGTTATTTATGAGGAGGGGGTGGGAATTTATGAAGACTCCATTGATTCTATTCATGTTGAGATGTTGATGAAAGAAGCATCAATATGGAGTCAATCTATGAGGAGTTTAATAGAGATTTACAAGTACTCCATGAAGTCTATTTATGAGGTTCGAGTAGATGGATATTTTCAAGTACTCCTTAAATTCTAATTATGAGGAATGGTTGAAGATTTACACATACTCCATGGAGTCTATTTATCTAGTGTGTGAGGCAATTTACAAGCACTCCATGGAGTCTATGTTTAAGGAATTGATGGAGACAATGAATCATGGGAGTCTATAAAAAAGAAGGAGGGTTTTACAATGAAACCTGGGATCGTGTATATGATGAGAGGGGGAGGAGGGGTTTACAATGAAACCTGGGATCGTGTATATGATGAGAGGGGGAGGAGGGGTTTACAATGAAACCTGGGATCGTGTATTTGTTTAGGGGAGAGGAGGAGTTTAAATTGAAACCTGGGATCGTGTATTTGTTTATGGGAGAGGAGGAGTTTACATTGAAACCTGGGATCGTGTATATATTGAGGGGAGAGGAGGGGTTTACATTGAAACCTGGAATCGTGTATATGATGAGGGGGGAGGAGGGGTTTACAATGAAACCTGGGATCGTGTATACGTTGAGGGGAGAGGAGGGGTTTACAATGAAACCTGGGATCGAATATATGATGAGGGGAGAGGGGGGTTTACAGTGAAACCTGGGATCGTGTATATGTTGAGGGGAGAGGAGGGGTTTACAATGAAACCTGGGATCGTGTATATGAGGAGGGGGATGGATACCAGATACTAGATATCCTTCTTCGGATCCTTTCATTATTTGAGGCCAGAACAACTAGTAAATTTACAGAGGAGAATAAGCCCTAAAAAAAATTAAATTACATAAATTATTTTAAATTTTCTTTTTGTTCGCTCACCTGGCAAACTTGTGATAGGGTAGCAACATACAAGAGCCACACTGGGGTGATGTCAACTCCGGCTTCTAAAAGTAAAATTTATGAACAAAATTATTTAGAATTTAATTCTTAATTTTAGGCAAAAATAATCCCCAAAATACATTTGATGACATAAAAAGCTTTAAATAGGACTTTGTTTATCAAATAAAAACTATGGGATTTAGAAAAGTATCTGTAAAACATTTTCTGTTCAAAGATTAAAAAATTATATTAACTTCTTATTCTCGAGTTGTCTCACTATACAATACATATCATAAGAATAAATACTTCTTCATCATAAAATTCCGTTATTCACAGGGGGCGGAAACGTCATGTGTATGTGTCTATACCAAAAGAGTGTGTGTAAGGAATACCGAACCGAAGGCGTGTACTGTAGGTATACACAATACATAAGAATCTCGGTATTTGTACAGTCTAGGAGAGTGCATTTATTTATTGTTAATTGTTTACTTAAAAATAAGTTTAATATACATGTAGTATATTATTTATATATTTAAGTAAACACTGTAAGCCAAATTTTTATGCAAAGAATATAATTTGATAAAAGTTTACAATAAGCTAGTCGTTATTCAGGTTTAATTATAATTGACGACATTGTTCTGCAATTTCCTTGACTGTAGTCATGTTGTGTGTCTGTACCAAAAGAGTGTGTGTAAGGAATACCGAACTCGTCTGCAAAGCAGTGCGACTGGCTTTCTCATGCCAGACCAGCGCCATTTCCTTTCCCTTTATTCCTATTCCCTGGTTATTCCCCGAGAAAAGCCTCTTTTATCTATTCCTAAATCAATAGGTCAGTGTTCGAGAAATCGAACTGTCCTCGATCGATCATTTAGATATTTTTATTTACCTAAACATTCTAGAACAGTGAGTAGATATGTTGCCTCAAACCCATTACAGATCAGTCTAAACAATATTTTTTTATTAAAATGTTTTAAACTAGTGAAAATGTAATTTTTATTGACTGCATCCATTTACAGAGTGGAAGGTCTAATTCACAACGGGAACCCTTTATCTGAAGAACACTGAGGATTCAGCTAAAGTAGTTTTTTGTAAATACTGACAAATGTTTTTCTATTTTTCGACTGCATAAATCCACTGAAGCCACTTTTACAATGAAATTACTATTGAAAAAAATCAACTTTAAGCTGAAAAGGATATCTCACTCATCGAGCAGGTTTAAAGGGTACCGTTGTGAATTGAACACATTACCACAAAAACGCTACTTGCGGATTTAAAGCAGCTAAGAAGATTGAAGGAAATTTACAGAATTAAACACTTTTTAAAACAAAAAACGACGATATCTTCCACATCATTGATGTGATCAAGATTTAAAATGTTCCGTTATGAAAAAAATGTAACTTAAGAATACGTCTAGATCCTTTAAAGTCTGTTCTTTGTGTAATAACAATTTGATTTTTCTACAGAAGCGTGAAGTACCTTGGAACTTGAAGGAATAAGGACAACCCATTTAAAAGCAGAGCAAAGGTAAATTCAGTTTTATCCTGAACACCGTTATCTGAGCTTCCAGAAAAAATCATCTGTTGATGCGATCCATCCATTGAGATTCTAAAATGATTCTTATTATTAATCAAATTATTTCGTGACAACAAATGTACAGAGTTCAAAACATTTAATCAATACATGTACAAGACATGTACAATACATGTACAAAGTTCAGAACATTTAATCAATACATGTACAATACATGTACAAAGTTCAGAACATTTAATCAATTCATGTACAAGACATGTACAATACATGTACAAAGTTCAGAACATTTAATCAATACATGTACAATACATGTACAAAGTTCAGAACATTTAATCAATTCATGTAAAATACATGTACAATACATGTACAATACATGTAAAAAGTTCAGGACATTTAATCAACACATGTACAATACATGTACAATACATGTACAGAGTTCAGAACATTTAATCTTTTTAAATTAAAAGTTTCTGCTCTTGGAAATCTTGTACATACGTTTTAACCTCAAGTTGATTTTTTGGATTTTAAGTTCCATCAAAATACAATTTTAAAAAAAATTATCATTTTTAAAATTACCTAGTGAGAACTGGTGAACCCCCATCCTCTGCATCAGCTAAAACAAATGAAATTAAGTATTTAAATTATTTTTTTTTCCAAGTTCGGTCTTCGAAAATTTATAGTTTTAAATATCTAAGGTCTTCGACATTTTGTTGCAAAGTTTTAGAAATTAGAAAATCAGGGTTTGTGACAAAGACTTAATTCTTTATTTTCATTTTTGTTTGTTGTAAATGATAGTTTCTCTTTGAAGTTTCTAGAAATATTTTTAGAGAAATATTTCTAAAATATTCAAATTATGTTTTTTGAAAAAAGTTTCTTAACACGAAGAAGTTTTACCCTTCTTTAGACTGGTTGAACTAAACTTACCAATCTTTAGACAGGTTGAACTAAACTTACCGATCTTTAGACAGGTTGAACTAAACTTACCGATCTTTAGACATGTTGAACTGAACTTACCGATCTTTAGACAGGTTGAACTAAACTTACCAATCTTTAGACAGGTTGAACTAAACTTACCGATCTTTAGACTGGTTGATTTCTTTAGACAGGTTGAACTAAACTTACCAATCTTTAGACAAGTTGAACTGAACTTACCAATCTTTAGACAGGTTGAACTGAACTTACCGATCTTTAGACAGTTGAACTAAACTTACCGATCTTTAGACTGGTTGAATTAACTGGAGAAGTCTGGTCTTGTTGAACAGAACTTGAATTCTGGAGCCTGAACCTACAATAAACAATATAGTTATTAATAGTTATTGCTTCATAATCGGCTTTTAAGCATTCGTAATCCCTCCCCCTCAATCTATATAATAAAACAAGACATTCGTATATATATGTTACCTATAGCCGGCCAAACGGCTGGACCGATTGGGCAAAATTTTCTTGTGGACACTCAGGGGTGTTATAGGCTTAAAAAAATCGCAAATTTTTTTTCCTCAAAATTTTTCCGCGGACAACGCAGGGCCCTCCAGCTTGTATTTTTATAAATAAAAAATTATTTTGCTTTTGGGGGATTTTTAGATGAGAAAAGTAATGAGTGGGTAACTTTTGAATGCAACGAAATTAAATTCGAAATAAGTTAAACTCATTCAAATAGATTGAAGATTACGCTGATCTTTATATACCTTCTTGTCATACTGTAGATGATAGTGATGAGAGAGATAGAGAGTGGACCGACTAGGGTTAAACTTAACCACGGCCACCCAGCATAACTAGAAATATTGATCATAAAGATAGGGTTAAACTTAACCATGGCCACCCAGCATAACTAGAAATATTGCTCAATAAAGATAGGGTTAAACTTAACCATGGCCACCCAGCATAACTAGAAATATTGCTCAATAAAGATAGGGTTAAATTCAACCACGGTCACCCAGCATAACTAGAAATATTGCTCATAAAGATAGGGTTAAACTTAACCACGGCCACCCAGCATAACTAGAAATATTTCTCAATAAAGATAGGGTTAAATTCAACCATTCAAAAAACAGTATAACAAAAAGTAGACAAAATAAACGTAATTACCCTATAATGAACCTAAAACAATTCCACGTATTGTGAAGGTTAGAGCCTCAGTTAATTAATTGATTTTCAATTAAAGACTTATTCTATACTGTCACACAAATAAGATAGGTCAACAAGAAAAAAGTATTTCGTCTCCCAACCAACACCNAAATGCCGGAAATAATAAACTGAGATGTGTATGTTAAAAATTTAAAGTCTTAAAATAAATTTGTGAGAAATAAGCAAAGTTTTTCACCTTACATACTGTCTATTATTCCACAGAGAGCTTTGCTGGATTAAAGTCCTAAAAAATATCAAATAATGTACACCAAATCATATCTTTAGAGTTGTTTCTCTACTTGTTTTACACTAGCTAACAGTGGTTTTAGTCCAACTTTCTTTAGTTTACACTGGTTTACACTGGTTTACACTGGTTTACACTGGTTTACACTGGTTTACAATGATTTACACAGGTTTACATTGGTTTACACTGGTTTACACTGGTTTACACTGGTTTACACTGGTTTATACTGTTTTTTACTGGTTTACACTGGTTTACACTAGTTTACACTGGTTTACCCTGGCTTACACTGGTTTACACTGGTTTTCACTGTTTACACTGGTTTACATTGGTTTACACTGATTTACACTGCTAAACTTACTGAATATGAATTCCGCAGTTGCACTCCCTAAAGTCCCAGCAAAGTGTGGAGATTTTAGTCTCGAGGAACTTTCCATAGTTGACGATGAGAGATACAGCCACCAGTCCCAGTAAGATAATCCAACCCTGATCCAAACATTAAGCTTAATCCGGAGTTTAATCTAAGCTGTTTCTTCAAACCTGTCTAATTGCTCTGTTTATCAATTTTTAAAATTGTTTTTCGTTAATAATAATTTTTTTTCATTATTTTTAGTTAATTATATCAAGTTCTTAAAGGAATTAAATTTTTGTCACAAAATCAAATTGTCTTTTCCCTATATCTTTACAACCTTATAGTGTAAATCTTCTATATTTACATTTCAAAGGTCTACGACAGCAGGTTGCTAATATAAAAGGATTAGAAAATTAGAGATTGTTGTATATACTTAGTTTCTATCCTAAAAAAAAATATATTCTTACCTTGACTTGTGTGCCTGTTACAGAGATGAGAAGTAGGGCAAGTCGGAGATAGACTGATAATGTTTGAAACACCCTGACAAGAAAATAAATTAAAACACCCTGAGACCAAATTTAAAGAATTTGAGCCACGGCTTAAATTTGAGACGCAGCTCAAATATGGTTGGTTCCCCCATCTCTAATATCATGAGATTTCCCATTTAATTTTTTCTGTTCAATTTTCTTTTTTCTTCTTGCCAATTGTTTCTTGTTTCTTGTTTCTTTGAGGCCTCTCCAAATAGTTCCTTTAATATCAAGTTTTGGAGCAGGTAGGAAAGAGATAAGGAGGTTTGTAGGTGGAAGGGTATAGGGGATTGCTCCCTGTTTTCCTTCTATTATACTCTTTCCGAGTTAAGCGGCATTAAGGAACCCCATAACTGCCCCCCTTACGCAAAATGGGGAGTTGTAAGCCCTAAAGCCCCATTGAGAGGAATCTTCCACAGCAGTCCAGTCCTCACAGCTGGTCGAGTAAAAAACTGGTATTGTTGTGCAAGGCTTGTATACCCATCAGGGATTAGACTCTTTCTTTCAGTTACACCAGGCTGAAGATGAAGTCTTGTTTTGTTCTATGTTCATTCCTTGTTTCCCCGGTAGGATACGAGATGGGCAACTAAGTGCAGTGCTCAACCAAACTGTAAAGCCGGGACCGCTAAAGAGAGTTCTGCTCTCTTCTGAGGGCGGTAGGCAACTGTGTAGTAAAAACTTAATTTCTTTAGTTCTCGTCGTTTATAACAGCCTCAAAAAATATGCATATTGCATTAATTTAGATTTGTGCAAACCAATTTCTTTCACAATACATCAACCTTAACAAGGAAATTAATGCAAAGGCTGAGAATTTTTTGTAAACATCCAGATGGTTATGAAAAAACCAAATTAGAAGAAAAAATCCTAAACATCATTCAGAACATAGCGTCCACCATTTTGCGTTTACCTGTGAAAAGGGTAAATCAAGACTGGGAAGATTTTCAGGAGAAATGGCGGGAAAATATCGTACTTTAGCTTGACCAGCTCCAGGGACGACAGTAGTAAGTAGAAACTAAAAAATAAAAACAATTTGAATTTTGAAACTTACAAATCAGTTTCTAAGATTTAATGTGTTTTGAGACTTAGGAACTTAAAGAATAGTGTCTTTGACCAAAGAAACTTAAAAACGAATTTCTGAGATCTGAGAAACTCTAAACCTGAGATATGAGTACCTTTTTGAGGAACATAAACCCGGTTTCTAATATGTTGAGAACTCACAGTGATCCAAAAGTTGCAAGCTTCCATGCAAAAATTGATGAGAGTTTTCACAATTACTTTTAAAAAACCAAAGCTAAAACTAGTGCTTTATATGTCTAAAATAAACATACCTGGGGCTGTAAAAAAGTGAAGTGAGTTTGTGAGTAAAAATCAAAGGCGTTGCGATACTTTAAAGTTGACCCGGTCTTAAAAATTGACGCACTTTTACATAGCAGTCTGGTTCTTTGTGAACCAGATTTAACAACTATTTATCTCATCATTACAGGGAGGCAATAGGGAATAGGGCTACAATTTATACAGGAAGGAATATTACATTGCCGAGGTTTCCCAAGACTTTGTAAGGTCCTAAAGCATCAAGAGCGTAGCGAGGGATGCAAAGGGACCCAACTAGGTCGAGGGAAGCCAAGGCAATGTAATTTTCTCTCCTATATGTGTTGCCTCACGTTAATGTAGAGATATGTAAGTTTTCAAACTTTTAAACAAATTTTATGGAGATATTTCCACTTCTTAAAATATAATATTTTAATTTACATCAAAATCTACCCTTTTCAGGATTTAAAAACTGTAAATCTTTTTAGTTTTGTAATTCATATTTTTGAGTTCAAAAATCAAATCTAATTATTGTTTTCTGAGTTGTAAACCCGCAACTTCTTGGCAGAAAAAATCGCAATTAATTAGATTGCATCCCTAGGGTTGCAATCTAACATTGCTGCCCTGGATTCAGGTTTGCACGGTAAATATATTAGGGATTCAATCAATGTCATAATTTCGTTCAAAAGTTGGAAAAAAAGTTAAAAGACGGTTTTGAGAACGTTTTATTTTAACCCCAAATTGTATTTACCTGTCGGAGCAGAGAATTGATTTTGAGAGCCATGTTTTGTATTCCCTCATGTAGAGATGTGTGATCATGTTTCCAGCTATCCCGGCAGCAGAGAGAATACAAAGCAGAACACAGACGACATTCGAGACCTGAATAAGATATTCTACATATCTGCGGTCACGAATCAACCAGACAGGATACAGCGTTGACGCGGACTGCCTGTCCATGTAGCCCGGGCGCGATTTACTGATTTGGAGCTGCATATATTGCTGTATATTTCGTGATAATCAATCAATCGAGATGAATAATTTGGGGTTATCGTATATGTTGTACGAGGAAGGGAAGGCAACCTCCCACGCAAGCTTCCGAACCTCATTTTACCTATTTGCGGCAGTGCGCGTCCCCATAGGCCTTCCGAACCTTCCCCAAACAGTCTTTCGGGAATAATCTTCCGTTTATAATCGTCAATTTTTGCTTAAAACGGGACTAATTCGATAATTTAAGCACGGTAGTCAATCTACATAGTATCCTTAACATTTAAATAATACTTTTCTTTTCTTTTTTTACAATCAAAGATCGGGCTGGAAAATAGGTAAAATGAGGTTCGGAAGCTGTGCAGGGGAGGTTTCCTTCCCTCCCTCGCACAAAATCGTCGCAAAAGTTATTATTTTTTAATTGTACATTTTTCTATTGCAGCTTTGAGCTATTCTAACCAACTGTGGAAATAATTATTTTTAATACATGTCGAAATTTTAAAGGAATCATTTTGCTTTGCTTTTTAAGTTAACCTAGTACATAATACTAAAAATTGTTGCTTTTATAGTAATTTATTAAAAATTTTCTTTAACTTTTATTTTAAGTATTTAAGTATGGTTTAAGAGCTTAGGTTGCAGGTCAGGACAGGATATCATTTATTTAAAAGAAACTCGGGAATAATAAATTTCCATGTTATATGGGGGGGGGGGGGGTTACTTGCAAGCTTTTTCTGCTTGTTTTCAGCCATTTTCCAGCGTTAAAATCACCTCGGCATAGAATTCTAAAGAGAGCCCTTCAAGACTTCTCCGAGCTATTCGATCCAAGCATTCACCAAGCATATGAACGTGTTCACTAAAAATGACAAAACTAAACAATTTTTTCAATTTATGTAATTATCTAAGTAACATTGAGAAAGATCTAGTTATTTTTCCTATTTTGATTTAAATCAAAAAATCTCGGATATCTCATTCCTTCATGAAAAGAAAATGGTTTAATGGGTCCCGTTGTGAATGTTTAAATTTGGTGTCAGTTGAAATTTCGGATATAATCCTTTTAAAGAATATAATTCGGATATAATCCATTTAAAGAATATAATTCGGATATAATACGTTTAAACAATATAATTCGGATATAATCCCTTTAAAGAATATAATTCGGATATAACCCCTTTAAAGAATATAATTCGGATATAATCCCTTTAAAGAATATAATTCGGATATAATCCCTTTAAAAAATATAATTCGGGTATAATACGTTTAAACAATATAATTCGGATATTATCCCTTTAAAGAATATAAACTTAGATTTTTTACCCCGGATCCTCTGGATTGTTTTCTTGTGCCAGCACTTGGAGTTCACCATTCAAATAATAATAATAATAATAATAATAATAATAATAATAATAATAACAATAATAATAATAATAATAATAATGATAATAATAATAATAATAATAATTGTAATAAAAATGAATAAGTCACCTCAACAGCATTGATTGACAAGTTAAGATCTGTTTTGGCAGTGCAAGTGCTAAATTAAAGAAAACAAATTATTTTATGAAATGAACTTGAATAGAATATGAAATCTGTCAAAATTAAGAATATTGTTTAGATGAAATCTCTATATTTATAATTAAAATCATTTTATTGTTATGCTGTAAGATTTTGAAAATAATTAATGTTGTTAAAAGGTCAAGTTTCTGAACAGGAACAGAACAGAACAAAAACTGGTAAAACTAAATATTTTGTTTCGGCCATTTCTGACGATTTTTTTTATCGAGGGTGGATAGGGGGGGGGGAGGGGGATTATTGATAATTGATCTCCTATAGCCATTATAGAACCATGTATACTTCATCCAAACAAAAATTGAAGTAAAACTTTTTTACAATATAAACACCAAAGGGATCAAACTTTTTTTTTCGATTAAGTTTACTTATTTTGCCATAGACATTTCTAAAGTACGCTTTATGTCACTTTATAATTTATAAAGAAATGAAAATCCTACTCCCCCCCCCCTGGTTTTTGTCACAATACTCCTGTTAAAATGCATTTATCTTGTGTTTCATGTTGAGAAAGGACAAAACTAATATATTCTGATAATCTTTTCACTTACAAACATTTTGTTTTGATTTATAACGATTTCAATTTAGAATTACTTTTCCCGTTCATATATTCGGAAGAAAAACATATATTTTATAGCAAAATCACAAGAAAGCACAGTGGTTTCACGATAATCTAAATATATAAATAGATTCTAACAAGCATAAAGAAAAGATTTAGGGGCGCCACAAAACCTCAATTTATTCAGAGTAGCGCGTTGAAAAATCCTATTTAAAGAGTTTTAATGAAATAACGATAAACTTGTTGTGAGAGTTAACATCCTAATAATGGACAACCATGACTGAATTATAGATAATTCACGATAAATGTATTTTTTTTGTTAGCCTGGAATTTTCCATGTACAAGCAAATCCTTCTAAACATATTTAACTTGAAGATAAACAAACATTTGATTCAAGTGAAGAAGAAAGAGGGTCAGGTGCTTAAAGTCCCTGTAAACATGGGAATTAGAAGATTACTTATAAATCCTCGTTGACCTCCGAAATGTAATAAAAAAAGGCATGTCTGGCTTTTCAAAATTGGGCCTATCTTGTTTGTATCTTGGTATCTTATGATTTGACGGAGATTTTTAGAAAATCCAAACTGGAGGAGCTAAGAGATCACAGAGTATCAGGGATCTCGCATAAATTGGACCTTCAGCGGAATCCTACAATAACTGGTTAGAAAATGACGCGCAGATCAAAGACGATTCTGAAGTGTTTATTGGGATGCACCGGATCAAGATTAGAAATATGTAAACGTAAAAAATACCTGTCAAGAATGCTGCAATCTGTGAAGCACGAATTCATTTCAGAAAGAAAAAAATTTAACTAATAAAATTTTTTTTATTTGATTTTTTTTTTCAGAAAATATGAGTATTGATTCATAGTGTAGTTTAGTTGAGAGTTTACCATCAACTAATATTTTCTACTCTCTGACTGAAGTCCGTCTCTCTTATTTCTCTTTTTCATTCTGTAACGGGCCTCTTCTCTTCCTTGTTTGACTGTCAGTCTGCCTTTATCTATCTTTCTATCTATCTATTTAAGAAAACGAAAATAGGCTGGATTCTGGAAGACGACTACTCCATACCTAGATTAAAGGAAATTTGTAGAAGAAACAAGAAGAAAAAAAGAAATCAGTGAAAACATCTATCATAATTATAGTAAAACCTAAAACTATATCTATCCAGGAATAATATTTCTATCAAGAATGTTGATCATGTGATTGTAAGAGACGAGTTATTGTCTAGTTAATACTCTGACAAACGTGAGAGTTTAGAATTATATTTTTCTAAAATGTGATGGAAGGATCGATGTCTGCAGTATGTAAATAAGAATAGTTATGATTGACGTGTGAGTGCAAAAAATCATCGGAAAAGCAACAAGGTATTAGTTTTATTAGTTATGTATAGAAAAATCATTTTTTGTATTAATATATACACGCACCTCTACCCCTTTAGTAAAAGTAAATTTAACCCATATGAAGCACAAAGTCTGACCGCGTCAACCTTGTTGCATCGGCTAGTCCTATCCATAGAGCTAGGTACAGTACAAACTGGGACCAGAAAGGTTGACCCGGCTTGGAAATTCAAATGTACTACGACTGGTTGTGATTTGATGGGTGAAGAGAAAGATAAGAAAGCAAATCCCGCCAGAGAAACAAGATTGTTAATATGTTCCTGTATTGGATATGGGTATTACAATCTCTGAAACCTGTCAACCTTTCAACTTTTCAATTGGATAATTTGTTTCTTACCGTTACAAGATGTATGTGTGGTACCAATTTGGTTAGATCTGTAGTAAATGCATCCAGGTACAGTTTCACTTAGCTATCAATGCTAAACCCGGACACAATATCGTCAGCTATCAATGTCAACCAGGACAAGAGCTCGTAATCGATCAACGCCAAACCAATGGGCATGATCACCTATCAATGTCTACACGGACACAAGCACGTAATCGATCAACGCCAAACCAATGGGCGTGATCAGCTATCAATGTCTACACGGACACAAGCACTTCATCGATCAATGTCAAACCAATAGGCGCCATAGCTATCAACATTTTACAGGACAATCTAAATCTAAGATTTCACACAACCTTGAAATATTGAAACTAGGAAAGTTTAAACTTTAGTGTTTAATTTGTATGAAAAATATCTTGGCACATAGAATAGACATTGAAGAAACTAGTATTAGTAGAATTAGTAGAAAGGAAGAAAAAGAGAATTTTATAAATATATAAACTTTGTTGCATAAAGAAGAAAACTAAATATCTGTCATTGAATATTGACAATCTATCATTTATATCCTCTGGTTTTAACTTGAAAGTTTATCGATTGATTTTTGATTAAACACTTTTCCCTGTCTCCGCGATCCTTATTCCTCTGATAGATTTACTTAATTTGAAGAAATAATTTATTAAATTGGTAAACTGCAACATAGCGTGGCATACATTTATAGAATATAAAGGCTGAAATTAAAATAGAAGCACTGCTTAGAGTCCGTCTAAACTTTCAGTTGAGACTAAAATCTAATCTCCTGTGTCAAAAAGTCTATGTTGATACTGATCGTACTTTATCTCAATCCTTTAGTTAATCCCCAAAAATTATCAAGATTTTCATCCTTGATTACTGAAGAAGAAAGGCCTGAATAATTTTTGTTTCATCCCAACCAATTGTGGTTCCAGACATAATATTTTCACCGAAACCAATGTTATAATGCACGGAAAGTTAATTGCAGTTGCGTATACTCTGCGTACATATTGGAACCAGTTCTCTCTAGGTTGAATTTGTAAACAAGAATAGATATGCATTAGTGTTCGTTTCGTATCCGAGATAATTTACATAATAGTTTCCTATGACCAGAATATTTCATTGATTTTTATGTGAAAGATGGATCTTATGTCAGGCTGTGACAGAGACAGTATACTGCAGTACAAAAGATGCGTACACATCTGAAATAACTTTCCTTGCATTATAACCTTGACAGAACGATGTGTTCGAGATTTGTCCGTCGAGTGTTCTCCGGAGCAAATTTCATCTGATAAACAAATTGCACTTCCTGGCTTGAAACCGAGTAGTTCATACACTCCACCCCGAACAATCGCTTCTGTTGTATTTATTGTGATATGTCCCCTCTTCGTTTGAAGGAAAATATAGTGGTCACATTCCTTTTTCAATCCTAGGATTTACTGATTACATTTCATGGAGACCTGAGGAAGATTAATTTACATGTGTGAATCATGCATAATGCCACTCTGTATTTCAAGTATCACTGAAGTAGTAAATTTATTTTGCATAATTCAACGCATTTTAGACTTTAACTCAATTCTTTAAATATTGAAAAATCCATAGGTTCGTTTCCGACAGTGTTCAGTTGAAAAGATACAACTTTTCTTTCTGAGATAGAAAATTAGTTTATAAAAACAATCAAATTGAGTTTTTTTCCTGATCTCAATGTTTTGTTTTATACCTGAAGAGGAAATGCTTGGAATTCAAGAAATAAAATCGATAAATAATAAATTTCTTCTAGTATATATTAATATTTTTTCTTAATCTATTAATGTAAAGTAGTGATCCATCTGTTTGTTTCTTTGTTGAGTGGGTTGACTTTTATAGAGAAAAAAAAATAGTTTTCAGGCAAAGCTGGATTACCAAGTTATTAAAGTAAAATTATAGTTATAATCTCTTTTATTTTTCTTTTCTATTTTTAAATCTAAATCCAACCTAATAATACTTTATTCTATTTCCTATTAAAACGTTTATCTTATCATTATAATAATAATTATAGTCAATTTTAAGATCCCATTCTGATTCGAAATTTTGAATTAAGTTTTTTATTTACACTGAATCTGCATTGTATCTAAACTTTGAATTCGGAGATTTTTATACTGTATGAACATTCTGAACAAGTATAGATTTGAACAAAAGTGCAATAACTGACAAGATTTATACTTTTTACAGATTACCAATGATAGGACCAAGCTTATTAGCTGTAAAAGTGGAGAAAATCCTTCCCCTATTGCTGAAAAGACGACATTTCCCGCAAATGTTTTGATTTTACTTTAAAAACTAAATTTTTATACATATTTTTTTGCGATATTTGCAGGTTACATAAGAATATTTTAGTGCGTAAGTCTGAAAGCTTTAGGTCTGAAAACTTTAGGTCTGTACAAAAGTAAATTTTAGAGTTTGTTTATGCATTTTACAGAAAAGTGTTAAATTCAATTTTGTATAATCCATTAGTCATGTTTTCAGGGTTATTGAACAACGGATTTTAATGTCTAAAAAAGTAAAATTTACCAAAAGGTTAAAAAAATGCAAAATAAATTTGCCACATGTAAATATTTAATTTGTTAACCACCTCATTTTTGCCACAAACTAAAATTTTCTTTTCCCTTTATCTTTGCAACTTGATGTAGATAAATCTGTTATTTTATAAGCTTAGATTATTATATCTGACAGAATTCATAGTTTGAAATATCAAATTTCCACGACATTGGATTGCAATCATAATGGGATTAGAAATTCAGAGTTTGTGGCAAAAACTCAGTTCCTTCATACTTTTTTCTAAGGCCCCGACCAACAAGAAAAAGTTCCCTATTTTAATTGTGAAAGGCTGGCTACCAAAGTGATACAAAAGCCGCAAGCTCTCGTTTTAAAATCGATGTTTATTAAAATTAGAGGTAAACACAAGTGCTTTCTATTGTTCTAAAATGTCTAAGCTTACTAATGAGGCAATACAGTAAGAACCATAAAACTCTGGAAGAGATAGAAGACTTCAATGCACATGAGACACACAAATGGTGCAGTGTAAACAGACCAATTTTACTCAATAAGTGATTTGATAACTTACTAGCAAAGCTTTGTAATTCAACATAATTCTCAATATGAGCTTATCACAGTATTTATCGTCAAGCTCTCTTCTTAAGATATGGAATAACCTGCCTCTTGACTTAAAAAAAGCAACACTCCATATTTAAAATAGACTACTAAATTCTCTTTTTGAAAATTACATTACATTACATATGTTTTGATATATGTTTTGTACATGTCAGAAAATTATTTTTAAGTCTAGTTATTCTAACAAATGTATGAACTATTTTGCATAAGATAAAATCGCACCCTGATCTTTAATAGTTCTCCTCAAATATATTTAATTGAAATGCTTTGTTATCATTATTGTAGTTAGGTGGAAAAAATAATCAAAACAGCCAAGAGCTTCCACCTAACTGCTTTATACTTGTACTGTTAAAATAATCATCAATTTGTAATTGTAAACTCGTTCTGTACACAGATACATGTATTTTAGCAATACACTTTATCAATCTGTCTATCTATCTAGTTATCATTCTTTATCCAAAGCATTTCATTTCATATTTCATATTTTTATTCAACTACAAAGCACGAGATAATACAAATAAAAAATCACAAATTACAATGTAGTTTGGACCCGCCTAACCTGAGTTGGTTGTTTTAATTTGGTTGGCCCACTATAATCTTTTTTAAAATCTAGATATTTATTTACGTATCATGGTTATTATGGTTTACAAGATTAATTGTACAAAAATACCAACATGTATTAAACAATTTTAATACGATAATAATGTGTACATATATTTAAATTAGATAAATTATACTGATACATTTTATCATTTTCATTTTTTTCCATTAAATTGGAATTTCGGATTTGTCCTGCAAGACACACAAAATGAGGGATGCAGGGAATAAATTGCTTGTATTTAGTCTTTGACTAGGATTTAGTTTTTTTAAAAATTCATCTGTATAATATTGGAGCATTTAATGAGAAAAATCTGATGGGCATGCATTAGAAAGTTTTTATCTAACGATGTAATGGAAATGTAACAAAGTACAAATGGGAAACAGACTACGATTGTACTGACGGTGAACATTGAAAGTTCGTCGCCAGTCTTACATTAGTTGAACTATTTCGTCTTGATGCTAAATAGCAGACGTAATTATGTAAAACAATATATTTGGGATACATGCAGGCGAGGAACATTGATGGTTCCTTCCTGCATGTTCTTTTCTTTATGTAGTTAATAATCTACACGGCCTACGTGGCTATAGCAGGCACCAAAATTTGTAAGTGTTAAATTTGAAAAAGCTTGTTGTAGAAACGACTAATTTCAAATTAAAATCATGTAGAACATTGGTTCCACATTTCTGACTAAAACATTGGAAGGAGATTCATTTCTCTTAAATAATCAAGGTATAGCCAAATGATGCACAGTTATATTGTGCAGGGGTTTAGAGGTATTGATGTAGCGTATTTGTCTCGTCTTCTTGAGACATCATGATTTCCAGGCGATGAGGTTTGACGGTCCAGGAGACGTTTCTGCTTCCACAGACTGAATCAGTAAGAAAAAGAGCATTAGTTTATTGTGAAAGAAGATTCAAGGCTTGGGAGAAGATTCAGATTTTAAAATGGAGTCCTCAAAATTTTATGGATTGATAGAGATTTATTTAGTAAGACATTTAAAATATAGAGACTCGGCTTTACTGAAAGTTTTTATTCCAGTATTCTTTAATTAGCCTTACGGACACAAACCAAATCTCTTTTTTGTACGAGTTGGTATTACATGCTTGCAGTAGCAAGGTTTTATGTCCGAAAGATTAAATTAAAGGGTAGCAAATGAAGTGAAAATCTTAAACCTTAGAAGACTGACATTCCATTCTCAACGTTTAAATTTTGTAAAAAAATGAGTTTTAACAATGAGTGCCTTAGTTTTCGTGCAAGAAGGTTTTGACTTTAGTTCTTGCTTGCAGTTACATAGTTTTATGTCCGAAGTATTAATTTAGGGGTTAAGAGGTGACAAGAAGGTTTTTAAACTTAGACAACTGGTTTTGCATGCTCAAAGTTTATAATTTTATTTAGAGATGTGATCTAATATCGTGTACATTAGGTTTCGACCTTAATATTCCAAAAAGATCCATGTTCACGCTCCCGCTCTCTGTGTATAGAAGGTTAAAAAATCATTGGTAATGAAGGAATTCTGCCACTCATCACGGGACTTATGGAAATATATTTTTTACCGTTATTATGTGCTCAGTGATGATGATGTAAGGTCTCTTTGGTTCTCCGCTCATACGTCCTCACGGTTTCAGCATGACTAGGTAAAAGAAGAACTATGATGAAGGAGGAAGGAAATAATTCAAGCATCTCGGGGTTTTAATTAATTATGTTTATAGAGCTCTAATTATGGCTTGAGTTAAAACGTTAAAATATTAATTAAGAAACGCCAAATTAAAAATATTTACCCCCCTACAGAATCCTTATTTACCCCCCTGTATTAGCTCGTTGTATTGAGCTATAAATTAAAAGATAGCGTTGCTGCGTAGTTTTCCTCTCATCTTGAGACATCATGGGTCTGTCGGTCCAGGGGGCGTTTCAGGTTCATCAGGCGTTATTTTTCGCCGAGAAGTACCGATATGAGGTCCCTCAGCTCCCATGAGGTTCGTCAGGATATTCTCGCACTCGTTCATCTTCTCGGGCACGGTTTACGTTAATCATCAGTTTTGGGGTGTAGCTCCGAGATCGCCAGGTCCGATATCCGTCTGTTTGTCAGCTGGGACCCAGTTTTAACTGAGTATAAAGAAAAATTTTGACAATTTTTTGCAATATCTCTTTAAGTTTTAATTTCAAGACGTGATATTACAGATTTAGTTTTTGATAGTGAAGGATTAAACTTTTCAATCGATTTTCAGCAAGGCGGATATAGGAGGTACTTGACATATTATTAAAGGGAAAATGCATTAAAAAAAAAAGATTTTTTTTGTCAGTGACCAATTTTTAATATAATTTTTTATGATGGCGGTAGAATAATATTAAAGAGTTAACATCTTCGAAACTTCTACGGGCTCCTAAAGGTTTTATTTAATCTTTTTTACCGTTATTCTGTCCGTTTGTGAGATGTTCTGACTCATACAACCAGCCTGCACAGGATCAGGAGGTTCTCGTCAAACTGTTTAAAAGTGTAAGAGAATTTGGAAATATGTGTAATTATTTTAAGAGTATTTAAAAGCAGGACGATAATAATGAAAATAAAAAAAATTTCTTTTTCGCGATTTAATTGTTAATTTTCAATTGGTTTTTCTTTTCATTCTTACGAGGCATAAAAGTCGAAAGTGTCATATTTTGACAATAATGCGAAAACGAGAAAATATATTATTGCTCATCCAAATTTAATTAAGAGCCAAAAGATAGAAATTTCAGTAATACAGTAAAATTTCTTTGTTAAGATTAAATTTAAAAAAGAGTATTTACATTTTCTTATTGTGTCGGACATTTTATTTTTGAAATTGTTCATCAGGAACCAGTAGTTAATTTAATTAACTTTTTTCGAAGGATAAGTAAAGTGTATAAATATGTATATTTATACTTAAAATTTTTTCCGAGATGGAAAAGCACAATTAAAAATTTTTTTTTGCAAGAAACTATGTTGCGTGTGGATTATCCTTACCGTTTTCCACAAGCTATTTGGCCACAATTCACTCCTCAGTTTTGAGATAGTTTGAACTGTTAAGGCAATAGGAATAAGTTGAGAAAAGGATAGATAGGAATAGGTACTGTAATAGGAAGTTTTAAAATAAACTATTGGCAAGTTTTTAGCAGAAGTTAGCAAATAAATAAGAAATATTTTGCTTTTACGAGTTTTAATACTAACGTTTAAATACCGACAAATATTGTCATAAGTCAGCAAAAATAGGAAATATTTTTTTGATTGACAATTGACAAATATTGACATAAGTCAGCAAGAATAGGAAATATTATTTTTTATAAGGAATGAAAAATGGAAAAAATAAGTTTAAATGATGGAATTTATTGTGTTTTAAAAATAAAGATTTAAAGGTTGAAATTTAGAAAAGGTTATAAGGATAGTGGGATAGGAGTAGGATTAGGTATAGGATTAGAGAAAAGGATTAAGGGATTGGTAGGTGAAAGAGGTGAGGACGAGTACCTAAATGAGGACTAACCAGGGTTTTACCGAAACAGGCTGGGGTACCCATGTGAGGGGGGGGGAATCCTGTGCAGGGTTCTTTCTATGTTAAGCACGTTCAGAATATTAGCGTTTGGCCTTTTTCTGATACGACATGGGCGGCTGCGAGCGTTTAAACGCACCTGAGGGCTTCAGTTCCTCAAAACCGCAGTACTCTCTATGAGTTTCCACCCATTGGGAAAAACTAACCCCGCACGGAACAGAGGGACCCAGGGTTGGTTTGGGCATGTCCATTACCGTCCAGAAATGATGACATTTCTGAATTAAATTCCGGACCACTTCAATCTCATTAATGCAACCCCTTTCATCCCTTGACAAGTTTGACTTAACCCCTTGAACACTCTCAATATCAGACCGGGGTTCAGGACAGGTAAAAGTTGACACGGGTACTGGCTTAACTTTGCCATCTTCAATCCCCCCGTTCCTGCCCATGGCGTTAGACTCCCTCTCTACTAGAACTTCCCCTGCACAGGACCCAACCCCCACACCGCTTACCTCACTGGGGTTATCCAACCTGTCCAGCATCCCCTGGAAGTCGGACATATAGGCATCGATTCCACCCTCCTCCACCTCCATAGGAACACTACTAAGTTTGTCAGACATTTCTCTGAAAAATAACATTATGGTCAGTTTGTACTTCACAACACTGATACACGCATTTGCGTTGGTATCCTTAACGGATCCATAAACGCCGCAATCTCTTTGAGTTGTGGTGTATTTCTTTTTTAATTTCAAGACATTTAATTTTTGAACAAAAATTTCAAATATACTTAAACTATCCTCGAGGGATTTACTTTTATTGCATTCCAGTGAGGACGCTATGTTTTTGTTCAGATTGTCCAAAAGTAGGACAAACTCAGGTTTACTGTTGAAGGTTATATTTTTATAATTAACGTAAAGATGTACTGCAGTTGTTGCAGGGTTCCGGCGTATCTTTAGGTTCGACAGATGTGATTCGTCAGAGTTATCCTTGTAGGATTGACTCGTAAGGAATCTTGATTTAAAAATTATTAATGGCTCAATTTTGACACTAGGTACACAAAGCTTACACTGTAACTTGAATATATCTTCCTTATTGAGTCTCACACAAAATGGCGGACTAGCCATGAGTAGCATTGTCATGGTTTGGTATGGCAAAACACGGGCGGTTGCAATTATTATTGTCACCAGCACGATATTAATAAAGTTGTTATTATATTTAGCAAGAAAGCTTAAATTTGATTCAATTTCAATATTCGACGAACAAGGGTTTGTTGGTTCTAGAAGTGTGGTAAGAAATGAAATGTTTTAATATGGTAGTATTGTAAATTCGTCTATTATTCCTTGTGGAGAATATAAAGTACATGACTATAAAGCAAATAATGTTGGTTGTTTCAATATTATAGGATATTGGATTGCTACAGCCTAAGAAAATTGTAGTTTTTAATTCTTCATGTGATAAAGCCCCATTTGATATTATCAGGTTTAAATCAGTTAGAATATCGTATATTTTTGGACAATCCCAGAAAACATGGGAGATAGTTTCTCTCGGTGCAGGTCTAAGTTTTCCAAACTCGCACCGTTGACATGTAGGGTCGTGATCATGAACAAAGTGTGCAATCATTGCATTATGATATAGAGTCTGAGATGTAAAATTGAAAATAAAACTACGTAGGTTTTTTTTCAGCTTTGAGATCTTAAAAATTTTATTGAAGTTGCAATCTCTCTCAGGATTTGCGGCGATATAATTTGATAGGGCAACGCGCTTGCGCAAACCAGGCGTCGGCCCGAAGTCTGACTCGACATTATCAATAATCCGTCTTATTTTAACGCTGCCCCCAACTATTTTCCTAAAGAAGGTAACGATAGGTGTGCAAACTTTGTCCTTGTTCATTGCAAACTGCCTCTTCACGCTTCTATGCACCGATTTTAAATAAAATACTTCCAATAAGTTAGGTCGGAACCCGAGGTATAACGTTAGACTATTTTCTGAGAAAGTATCGCTGTTAAGTATGTCTACTAGGTTGACGAATCTTAGTTTTCTAACCAAAGTTGCTTCTCCATGTGTAAGATTTTCTCTGAAATGATTTATATTTAATTTCTCACCAGACTCCAATCTCGCTGTGTCATTATCAAATATTCTCATATCAAGAAAGTTACCATTCGTCGACCAGAATACATTACAAAATGTCCTAACATAAATTGATAGTTCTCCACACGGAGTGTCCGTTGAGCTATTGAGCTTTTAAAATGAAACGGGAAATCTTCAGATATTCTGAAACTCTGAATTTCTTTTGCCCAAAAATCGTCATTATTGATTGATTTTCTAAAAAACCCAACCTTGATCGCGTTTATGTAAGATTCAATCTCAATCATTCCTAAGCCTCCCTGATGTATTGCATTGTATACCGTGTTTATTGGTGTTTTCAAACTCCCTCGCACAAAAGATCCAATCTCATTTCTGAGGGTTTGCAACTGAGTTTTACTAAATGTGATTACAGGGGCCGAGGACCCGATTTGTGACAGGAGATATGTTTTTGCGATATTTATCCGACCAACAATTGATAGTTTGAATTTTGACCAAAATATCGACATTCCTCTAATTTTCACCATGAGCTTATTAAAATTAGTTTCCTCCAAGTGTAAGTTTTCAGTGATATCTAACCCAAGTATTGTTAGATTTTTCACAATCGAGAAGCCAGTTTCAGCAATATTTTCAGCAAAATTAGGCGAAACATTAATTGGTAAAACTTGAGTTTTTTCTACGTTTATTATTAGGCCCGATAATCTACCGAACTCATCAAGTATATTTTTAACATTTACGATATTTTCAGGTTCGCCGTTTACGAGTATGGATACATCGTCAGGGTAGCTACTGTCGTTCACTTGAGAGCCGTTTTCAAAGACAGGATGAACAACACCTAGATCCAGAGTCAGCTTCCAGAGCAGAGGTTCTAGTGCCAGTATGAAAATCAAACCTGACGGTGAGTCACCTTGTGCTACTCCGCACAGTATCTCAAAGAAATCGATAACACCGGACTCAGTTATGATGCCAGCAATTTTCTTCTTCATTGTGGTTCTGACTATTTTTATCATATAATCGGAATAGTTAAAAAATTTTAAGATTTCTAGGATATATTCGTGCGATACAGAATCAAAAGCTTTCTTGAAATCGATTGCCAATAGCGCTAACCGCTTGTTCTCAAGTTTTCCTTTCTTAATAAATTGTAATATATTCATTAAAGCTTCATGTATGACCTTAGATTTTGAATAGGCTTTTTGTGAATCGGATGTGTTTGAGTCAATTACACGTTTGAGCCTATTGGCAAATGCTTTCGAAAATACCTTATAAACATTGCTTAGAAGGCTTATAGGACGCCAATTTTTAATTTGTGTGCAATCTCCCTTCTTAGGAATAAGCTTAATACTTGCAGTTCTTAGATTAGGATAAAGTTCTTCCTTTTCAACCATAACTTCAAACCCCTTGGTTACAGGATGTCCAATTAAAGGCCATAGAAATTTAAGTGTAGCGTAGTTGTATCCATCCAAACCGGGACTCGATCCTATCTTTGTCTCTCCTAGTGCTTTCGTAAGTTCATAATGTGTAATTGGAACGTTGTCTCTCTCAGAGTCCAAGTTAGATAATTTTTTTGATTGCACATAATCACTGTTCATAATTTCTGGAGTTAAAAATTGTTCGAGACTCAAGTTTTTTTCCGGAATTTTGCTATAAATATTTTTAAAATAACTGCATAATTCAGCATTTCGTTCATCATTATTTTCGTAATCTACTGAGTTCCCCTGATTATCACGTTTTTTAAGTTGATTTAAAGAATCATTACCCTTTTGTGCTTTTGCAAGTGTACAAAAAGATTTAGTTGGTTTCTCAAAGTTCATGGAATGCCAGAGTTTAGTTCTAGCGCAGTTTCGAAGATTTAAATCGTCATCGAAATCAAGAATTTTTTTTTCTAGATAAATTTGCTCTTGGTAAAGGATGGATTCAGTATTTAAGTTCATTTTCTGCAACTCTGCCATTCTATTTCTCATGTCGTTAAGTAAAATATTCGTCATTTTTTTATGTGCACGCTGGTGTGACATTATACAATTATGAAGATTGTTCATTAAAGTCTCAAGAAATTTGTCATATTCGATTATGATAGGTCTATTTCGAACTATATCCCTTATATCTAGAAATGGGGCAATTATTTCATCAATTTCATGGCATTTTTTTTCGATTACAGAGGTTAGTAATTTATCATGCGGAAAGTTATTAATTGATTTTTTTATAGAGATGATATCTGCAAGAAGTGATCGTGCGGAGGTGAGCTGTCCATTGATCTCGACAATGAAAAGAGGATCAGCCAGAGGATCAAGATAATCACAAAAAGTACTCAACGTTTCTAGACTAACGGCCTGCTTCAGGCCGGAGATGTTAAGGAGACTTGGATCAAGAAAAGTCAAATTTCGTGGAGATTTCCTGGCAGGGACAAGAAGGACTCCCTTGTGGTCAAAGAGCTTTGTTGTGATAGGCAGGTAGCTAAGATTAGAAAAAGATTTAACAAAACTTGGAGAGCATAGAAAATGATCAATTCTTGATCTTGAGTGATCGTTTTTGTTAAATGGGACATGACTGAAGATTCTGCGGTCAGGATAGAAATGTCTAAAGATGTCAACAGTGAACCCCGTTTCACACCAAATAGAGAGAGTTTTAGAGTTTGAGACATTTGGGATCTGTAACATGTTTTTAATATCCAAGTTGAAATTATTTGTGGCGGTTATTGCATTTGCATCAGTTACCATGTTGAGATCGCCACCTATTAGAAATTCATGATTACCTAAACTAAGAATGTCTCTCTTCAGGTTATCCAAGAAGTCGGGGTCCTGATACATAGTGGGACCGTACACCGAACCAACCAAGAAGACTGAATCGCGGAGAGCTATTTTCAAGATTAAATAATTTTCCAGACTACACTTCACGAATTCTAATATCTTGTAAGGTAATTGTGATTTAATTAATATTGCTACACCACGGCTAGCCTGGGTAGAGTTGGTGTATGTGTGATATGAACCAAACTTACTAAATTCTAACCTTTTCTTAAGGATTTTTTCACCATCATTACCCAGCCTGATGTCCTGAAGCAATATTATTTCCACCTTTTTGTCTAATATGGATTCTAACTTTTGGTCAAATCTATTTAGGTTACTGTTTAATTGGAAACGTGTTGATAAATTCAAAGAATTGACATTCTGTGATAAAAAGCGTATGCCGCTCAGATCGTTAAATGTCGCCATTATTATTTATTGCGAGTACCGCGTTTGGTATAATTGGAAACAAAAAGAAAAAGCGATTAAAGGCTATGGCGTATTTAAAGATGATAAGGTTTATAAGATCAAGGTGATTTTTATAAGTTTTTTGAAGGTAGATAACGAGGATGTTTGAATTTAATTCATGGTTTATTATAAATATACGTGTAAAATTTTCAAGTTTATATTTTTTATAATATGAATATGTGCTAGATGGATGATTGCATACGAATTTTACACTTAAAATGAGAGGAGGTTTTGAAAATAAGCAGGATATCTGTTCCCTGTTGACTTTTAGAATTGATAAAGATTTACGTCGGTAAAGAGTTATACAAGCGTTAAAATTTGTTGAGATAAAAATTATATCAAGTTTGATTAAAATTCGACAATGTTCAAATACAGTCTCACTGATACTAAAATATATTCTTAAACTTGTTTCAGTTTGTACCGTGACAGAACTGGTTCCTAGAGTGAGCAGTACACACACGTTCACACAATACCTCCGCGTAAACATCATATAATCACCAGAAAGTGTACCCTGATGTGTGGCAGGACCTGATAGAGCTGGCGCAGGCGCAAAAGAGTATTGAAAATTCATAATCCAGAGGAGGTTAAGAAACATGAGATGAGAAGATGAATTTCCAACTTTGACTTTAATGTTATATGATAAGTTGATAAATTTAAAAAAAGATTTACTTTTCAACTTAGAATTTATAATATCGATCAATTTCTTATGATTTATTAACAGAAAAATAGTTGTGACATCGATTATTAAAAAGTTTAAAATTTTGTGATCCTCAGAAGTTATTTTGTCTAGTAATAAGATATTGAGCAGAACATTTGAAAGATAAATTTTTTTTTGGTAATTTTTGGGTATAAATTTTTTATTTATTCGAGGCACAATAAAATTGAAAAGAATGTTTGTAGTATTGTTAGAATTAATACTTTTTTTATCCTTAAATCCTAGAATGTTTGTAGTATTATGCTTGTGTTTCTTCGAGTCCCTCGTATCTGTTCTTGGTTGGTGTGGTAGCTCGTGGTGTTCCAGGTAGTGGTACCGATGGTACACCATTCTTAGCTGGTTGGAAAGAGTTTCTTAGAGGGTCAATATTATTGTTAGGGATATTTTTAGAGTATTCTTTGGAATCAAGGAAATTAAATGAAACATCTTCAATGTTGGATTTGCAAGGTTGCCTTTTTTGACCAAACTTATCAATGTCTGAAGGGTTTAGGGGAAAGCTTAAGGTTTCAACATATTCCCATCTTTCGTTTGAAGTTGGGCGGGAGGATATTACTAGTTTATTGTTAGATGCAGAGGGACGGATTAAAATTTGAGAACCTTTGAATTTGTTTGATTTATTGTACCCCGTCCTGATTTCCTTGATGTGAGAGTATAGATAGGAAGGCCATTCCACAACTACCTTTTTTGAAGCAGCTCTGAGAGCTTTTTCAATCGAGATCTTTTTGTCTTTATCTGCGCAGATAATCCCAACGGGTGTGTTACCTTCGCGTATCGATTTTGTATTGATCGAGATCGAACTGCCGATTAGGTGTTCCGGTGCGACGTTCAGTTTAGTTTTTAGGGTTTTTTTAACGTTTTCCCTAGCTGTGTTAGTATTTTCAATTTTACCACCAATTAGAGACTCCTCAACGGGCATATCAAGAATTTTAACTGTACGTTGTGATTTTTCCATTTCTTTTTTAAGTTTCTCTCAATGTTGAGCATACTTCATTGTTTGGTTAGATTCTCTAATTTCTCGGTTTTCGTTTACAACACGGTCAACGGTGCCAAAATCTTCGAAAACTACGTGGCTCAAGAAGACAACAATTTGATATAATGCGTTAAAGGTTTCTCGGTTTGGTGGTGGTGCATTTTCGTCGGTTGTGATCGGTGCGAGTCCTTTCATAATTTCGACTACTTTCTCATAAACTTCGTTGCGAGGATTAGATCGAGGTTTGGAATGGTTCAAAACGGTGACATCCCAAGTGGGCTTATTTTTTCGCCGTCTCTGTCAAGTGGACGTTTTTTGCCATTATCATATGTTTGAGAGTTCGTGATCGGAATCGGTTCGGTCGGTATCGGTTCGGTCGGTGTCCTATTTTCGTTCGTGTTTCCAGGTCCATCGTTGGCAGCGCTTAAAATCCCAAGTGCAGGAGTTAGAAAGCTAAGAATGGAGAGTTGTGAGACCCCAGCTTTTGGGGGGTCTTTTTTTTGAGATCATTCTTTTTCGTCATTCTGTCCTATCGAAAAAGGAATAGAAAATAAGAAAAAGAAAGAATTGGAAATAAGGAATAATAAGATGTTGTTTAGGGAGGATTGTTTATAAGTACGGGTGTACTTACTTGATTTGCTGAGATTTGCAGTACTGTGTACACACTAACACTACAAAGCTGGAGCTAGTTCACTAGGTGTTTCTCGCTCGAGATACTGAGATGAACTGAAATGAACTGAAATGAAAAGAGCAACAAGTCCAAGAAAGGCAAAAAGTCAACTAAGAAAACCAAGTCAGGAAAATCCAAAAAGGCCTCAAAGAAAGGAAAAAGGAAAGCAAAGTCTATGAGAAAGAATGATGACAAAAAACAAAAGAAAAAGGAAAAGAAAAGGGAAAAGAAACAAAAGAAGAAGGCTGTCAAGTCAATAAAAAAAGTAAAGGGTAATAGATCTTCAAAGTCAGGATCTGCAAGACAAACTTGCACCATTTCAGATTCATGTGTTTCAACCGCTGTAAGCTATCTGAGAATTGTGCAGAATCAGGTTGCCAACTTCAAAAATCAAAGGGACAGAATTGTGCGACAAAACACAACTGGCACAAGAAAGAATGATAAGAAAGATGTTTTTTCTGCACCTCTTAACAGACTTGTTGATTTTGCCGGGGGTAATAGAACTGCCCCAACCTGTGGATCTCTGACCAAAGAAGCAGGTGTTAATAACATCAAGAACTTGACTGACACACTTAACAAGTGCTCTGATAACATCAAGGCTGCCTGTGACATTTCAGCTCTCCCACAACCAAACACAACCTTTGTGGACGGTAAGCTCAAATATATTTTTGTCACATGTGATTAAAAATGTAAAAAAGAATCTTTAATTTTTTGAAATTTTTCTTAGATTGCACCAAAAAGACTGAAGCTTTTGAAGCTGAAGTTGAGGCGTGTAGATCAAAGTCTGGAGCTGAAGCCTGTACATGCTGGGCTGCCCCCACACTTGGAGCTGATATTGCCACCATAAGGACATGCTCACGTAAGTGTAATCAAAATGTGTTTAAAATCAGATGTTTTCTCTATTACTTTGAGAAATAAAGCAACAAGCTTCATGCTATCCCTTAAAAATCTATAACCTTTTGACTAAGCGTTTTATTAAATTATGAATATTTAGTTGCTGAGGAAGCAAAAGCTATGGCTGCTGCAGTTACAGCATGCAAAGCTGCTTTTTCAAGCTGCCGTAAGTTTGAGGATGAAGTTGCAGGAGCTATTCACTCATGCAGTGTGAGCACTGATGGTTTAAAAAGTAAACTAAAGAGTTTAGCAGCAAACACAGATGCAGTCACCAAAGCAAAGGACAAGATCAATGCAATCATAAATAGTAGACAGATGGTATCAAGACAAGCACCAGCTGCCAGTTGTGCAGAAATCATTTCAATATCTGCAGAACTACTTGTACTTATTGGACAAGCACCTGCATCTCCCAGAGTAGCACTTTTGGCTGTTTCAATTTCTACCACAACAGCTTCCTGTTCAGCTGCTGAAAAAGCAAGCTTGAAAGAGTCAGCTGCAAGTTTTGAAACAGCTCTGGCAGCTATTGCTTCTGAAGTAGCTGCAGCTCAAGCAACCTTACTACGTAAGCTATTTTTAGTTTGAAATTATTTCTGTTTTGTTTATAACTACATTCTTTATATTGAAAACTAACTTTTTTCAGAGGCTACAGGAAGTACTGCAGTAGCAGCTGATATTGCTGCTGCTCCATCATGTGCTACTGACAGCTGTGCACCACCTTCTGTAGTTGAAACAACTGTAGATCCTGCAACCACAACCCCTGCTCCAACAACTACTGCCACTAAGGCTCCCTCTCGTACATTGAGAAGACAGGCTGTAGAAGATATCCTAAAGAGAAAACTTCTTTAAAGACTAAAGAACACCTTATGAAATGTTATCTGGTATCACAAATTGTTCAAGCTAGTAATTTTATATAACATGCTTTAATTTACCTGAAATACATGCATTAAAAATGTTAACTCAATATTTGAAGAATTTTTCTCAAAAAATCTTCTTTTTTATAAATTATAATGATTTTCCATGTGTTTCATGCAAATATTTGAATATTTTTAAGGATGTTTCTGTATGAGAACCTTATCCCTTTCCCCCTCTAAATCCCATGTTTGATGTCCAAATATGACAAATGAAACATCATTGGAAATTCTGATGCTCTACTTTTAGAATCTGCATAAAATTTGTAGATTTACAAAAATTAAAATTTATTTTGCAAATCTAGTTTGCAACAAAAAAGATGTCCAGAAAATGATAAAATATACTATTTTTAAAAGCCTTTAATCATGTCAATTCAAATATGCAAAAAATTTTAGATAACCTGATGTGTTGTTGAGAAAAACTAAAAATGTGCAAATTTTTTTGACAGATTGTATGCATTAATTTGCAAACAATTCTTTGCAAAACTTGTGTAATCCGTTTCCTTATGTCATAGGCTTTCTAAAAAGCTAAAAGTTATCAAAATCTGACTTATGAAAGTGGGTTAAAACAAAGATTTAGTTTGTTTCATGAAAATAAATCCTTCAGGCAGTGTGCCTGAGGACTCAGGCAGTTAGTAAAAAAGCATAGTTTTAGATTCAAGGATCGGGCTATGGGTTATTAGGAAAAGTCAGAAAATGTCAACAACCTCAGACAATTACTTTTTGAGTTATGTAAAAAAGGGTTAAAATATGATAATAGTTTTTTTTTCATCTAAAATCCATTTATTCCTTTTTCAAAAATCTACATATGATCTTTTCTTACTTTTTTTTAAATAATGTGGTCATTTGCAAATATTCTGTTTTCTCATCAAAAAGATTATTGTCTTCCGTCAAAGGCACCCAATGGGAGTCATAAAATTAGTAAAGAGAATAAACTTTGTTTATTTTAATAAATTGTTAGGTTTTTGAACTTTTAAAAGGTTCAGTAAAATTTCAGAAGTTTTGCAAATTTACAAATTGTGCATTCTGAATATTTGTTTTGCTTTCACTATACCAAATTTTAACAGAAGCTTAAATGACCTTTTTAACAAAGTATTAATTCTTGTTTAACATTGTGTTTCGATCATTTCTTTGAATAAATCTTCTATCAGGGTCAACATTTGACATAGTGTGAAAATAGTGAAATGCTTAGAATGGAAGTACATCCCTATATGCTGGGTTCCTGTAATTAACCCACTATAGAAATGCAGAGTCCCTGCAATACTGTAAAGTCCTGGCCTGTAGCCATACCCCTTTCTCCTAAAATAAAGGAACAACGACTTTGAAACCTCTCTAAATAAGTTGCTTGGTGTAATCTTACTCTTCTCTTGAAAAATTGAGATATTACTACATACTAGAGATGTCAACGATAGTGTAACGTAACGTAAAATGTACGTTTTTGTAATTATGCCAAAAACTTTAATTTTCATTTAATATATCTTGGCAACCCGATGTCGTAGACCATTAATATTGAAATATACAAGGTTTAAACCATTGGGTTAGAAAGATATAGGGATTAGTAAATTTGAAAAAAAAAAAAAACTTAGTTCCTTTCTAAAGTGTAAACGAGTTTTTTTGTAACATGCTATTATTGAAAATTCAAATCTTATAAATGTTTCTTGGACATTAAAGGTTTTGGTTTGCCATTGTTTGATGGGACCCACTAAAACTCTGGAAAAGGAATACGACATTAAGAAATTTTATATGCATTTTCTGTTATAAAGCAAATAATTTACTAATTGCAAAAAAAATCAACTTATTGAATGGAACGGGTCTGTGAACAAACACGATTGCTGGGTTTCATGTTTATTTGACTACTTGAAATCATAACTTCAATTGGCATGGTTCATGTTTTAGGTTGAAAAATTTAGAAATGTAGATACTAAAATGCAAAAATATTTTATCAATTGGAAAATGCGGGTTATGTTTTATTCATAAATAGATTTTTATGAAACTTTAGAATAGAAAAATAACTGATTTTTTAATCGATTTTTTATTATGTTAACATTAAAATAAAAAATATTTTTTTTTGTGGCAAAACGGTGCGACTTTCGGTGGGTTGTTGGCTCTATTACAATATTGATCACCCCTACTGGACAATGGACATGCCACTCCATAAATGGAAGGTCACTTGAAATTACGTCTCTAGTCCCTTTAAGACACACTTTGAGTTGAAAGTCTAATGCTAAACACTTTCATTTACAAATTTTAAAAATCGTTAAACATAATAATATTATAACATCTTTATATTGCATAATGCATATTCTTCAGCACATTCTCTAAAAAGGTTAACAATACAACAGCAACATACAGGGTGAGTAAAAATATGTAATTATCACGGAAAAAATCTTTCAATGCTTTCATTTAGAAACAAAATTATTTTAATAAAGTGTAACGTTAGACACATTAAGGTTTGAACATTTTAATACAACGCAACGTATAGAACATTTTTTCAAATCTTTCTTAGAAACGAAACGAATAAACAGTTTTGATTGTCAGTTGTAAAAAGTGTAACAAAAAATTTTTCACAATAACGTTTCGATAAATCGTAACGTAAGAAAAGGTGCACTTTAGTAAAATTTCTAAACGTAATTAAAAGAGTTTATATTGGAAAAGTTAAGATAAAACGTAACGTTAACAAAAAATATTCTTTGCACTGAAATGCATTGTAACGTACAGAACTATGCCCCAATGACGTTTCATTAAAGCAAAACGTTTGTCATCTTTTAGATCTTAAACCAAGTGAAAGTGTAACGTAAGGTCTCTAAAAATATTTACCTTGCATCAAAGTGGAACGTTAAAAATTGTGGTTATATTACATAAGCTTTTACGCAACGTTGGGAAAGTTTTTAAAACATCAAATGCAAAAGCGTAACGGAGCTTACTGTTTTTTCAATAACATTTACTAAAGCTTAACGTTGTATAAGGTATTCAAGTGCAGAAAATTCATTACGTAACGTTACTCTATACCATAAAATTTTAAAATGTGCAACGTAACGTTTCAAACGTTAATACTTTTGATGAACACTATCGTAACGAAAGCTAAAATCTAGAAAAATCAAAACGTTGACATCTCTTCTACATACATACAATGTAACAAATATGTTCCAGTATGTATCAACAATTCAATTCTTTAATTTTGCAGAAACATTGCCTCAGTTTCAGTATTTAATCTAGACAATTCAAAAACAGTGAACACCGAACATTAGTAGTAATATCAAAATTGTCAACATTTCTGTTATCCAATATTGTAAAATTTTGAGCTAAAAACTAAATTATGAAAACTTTCTGTGTGTCACTGTCCACTGTCTGTATGAAACATCAGGGAAAATCAGATTTTCCCTGTAACATCAAGCTAAAACTACTTTTGTTGTTGACAAATTAGAAAATATTCTACGTCACATAACATTTAAGCTAAAATTACTAGTTTTCACCCCAAAATTACAAAACTTTGCTATGCCTTGTTCATTACGTTTCACTCAACCCATACTATAAAACCCCTTTTTGCACCTCTAATGGGAAAATCCTAGATACAAGCCTTTATGCATTTTTCACTGTAAATGGAATTTTTTTCTGTGCAGTTTTTGTTCTAAAATTATACTATAACCAGAAAAAAGGCCTAGAAAATAAAGTCTTAGCATGATAGGAATTTATTTCCAGAGAATTTTTATTTCAAGGACTTTTTTACACAAGGCTTTTTTAGTGCCAAAATTTAGGACATTTTTTCAGAAAATTATTTTTCAAAGAACTTTTTTGGCGGTTACCTTACCAGCTTGAAAAAGCTGTACATTATACATACAGATTATACCAGACAAACTGGACATTCCTCCAAATGAACCAGCTCCTTCTAGGGAAATTCTAGTGGTATGCATGGTTCCCAAGGATGATATATTATAGATACAGGAAAGTCAAATAATTTAGAGGTCTTGTGATAAGTTTAAAGCAGTAGCATCTCTATCGTATGCACCAAATGTTTACTTTAGTATCAACAACCTATGCTGCAAATGGTACTTAAAGAAACATGTTTATAAATGCAAATAAAACAAAGGTAGGAAGTTTACCGACAAAGTTATTATGTGCAAGTTGTACTTAATGGCACTGATTTAACAACTATAAAATAGTTTTCAAATGTTTGTCAATATTTATGCTTGTCTAATGTATCTTTACTACATATGTTCAACTGTGCACAGCCCATACAATAGTCATGTTTTGCAATACTCGTTCTGTAAGCGTATTTCCTACAGATGGCAGCAAGGGGAGAAAGGAAAATAGAAAGCAATCAATTTTCTATAGATGTCTCTTGTTTTAACTGTTCGTAGAGGTACAGTGTTGTCTGCTCCAAGCAATATAGGCAGGAGCTGTCTACCTGCCAGTTCATCTATTTATTTATATTTTCTTTGGTGGTTCCTTGATGAATGACCTTGCTTGCAGATGCACCATTGCATAATTTATCCAGCTATTTAAATACTAGATGAAATAGAATAGATACAGGGATACCCACACAGGATAATACTTCATAAGTGACTGTACGGAATTACTTCTGAAGTAGCTACAGCTAGAGATGTTAACTTTTTCATTTTTTTTTGAAAAACGATCATTTCGTTATGAAAACGACAACAAAAATTGAAAATGAAACGATCGTTTTAAAAACAATGGTATTTTTAAAAGTTAGTTTTTTAAAACCGGTCGTTTTCAAAACAATTGTTTTTAAAAATGATCATTGTTAAAACCGATCATGTTTTAAAATGATCATTTTTATATAACTCATAGTTTCGTTAACGATAGTTAACGATGACCCTTTGTTGACGATTGTTAAAGAAGAGAGAAAACCGACCTAAAGAGCATCTGTACTTATTATAGAGCAGTTTTTAAGAAAATATCAAGAAGTTTTAGCTGCCCCACAACTTTATAACTTCATGCAAGATGACATTCAATAAAATTTCATGTAATTTTTTTTCAAAAATGATCGTTTTTCCAAAAACGACTGTTTTTATTAAATTTTATCATTGTTAACGACAACCCATCATTAACGATCGTTAACAATAATCCTTTGTTAAGGATCGTTAACATAATTGTCAATAAAATTTTTTTTTCAAAAGCGATCGTTTTTTAAAAAACAATCGTATAAAGAACGGTCACCAATCGTTTTCAAAAACGATTGTTATTCGTTTTCTAAAAGTTCAAAACGAGTGGGCCGTTTTTAAAAACGATCGTTTTATTCCGAAAACGAAATGATCGTCTTTGAAAACGATTAAAAAACGAAACAAAAAACAATCTTTTAACGAACATTTTAAAAATGATTAACAACCTTACCTGCGGTTCAAATAACCTTACTACGTAAGTCATTTTCAGGTTAAAATTATTTCTATTTTTTACTTTGTTTTTAACTACATTCTTGACAACTACCCTTTTTCAGAGGCTACAGGAAGTACTGCATCAGCAACTGACATTGCTTCTGCTCCATCATGTGCTACTGACAGATGTGCACCATCTTCTGTATTTGAAACAACCGTAGCTCTCACAACTAGGTATGTTAACGTTTTAATTTTTCAGGAAAACGCTATTTTCGTTATGAAAACGACGACGAAAAATCGAAAACGAAACGATCGTTTTTAAAAACTATCGTTTTTTTAAAAAGTTAGTTCTTTAAAAATGGTCGTTTTTAAAACGATCGTTTTTCAAAACGCTCGTTATTAAAAACTATCGTTTTTTTAAAAACTTAGTTCTTTAAAAATGGTCGTTTTTAAAACGATCGTTTTTCAAAACGCTCGTTATTAAAAACGATCGTTTTTCAAAACGATCCGATCGTTTTTATAAAATTTGTCGTTTTGTTAACGATTGTTAACGACGACCCCTTCGTTAACGATCGTTAACGAAGAAAGGAAACCGACCTGAAGGGCATCTGTACTTATCATTGAGTAGTGTTTAAGAAAATATTAAGGAGTTTTAAACTCCCCCACAACTGTTAAACTTCAAGTAAGACGACAATTTTTGCATGTAATTTTTTTCCAAAAACAACCGTTTTGATAAAGTTTGTCGTTTTGTTAACGATCGTTAACAATAACCCTTCGTTAATGATCGTTAACATAATTGTCAATACATATTTTTTTTCAAAAACGATTGTTTTCTCAAAAACAAAAAAAAAACGATCGTTTACAAAAATGATTAACAACCCTACTCACAACCACCACACCTGCTCCAACATCTACTAAAGCTTCCGCTGTTTGGAGGAAAGGACAGGTTGCAGAGGATATCATGAGGAGCAAACTTCTTTAAATGTGTAGACAAACATTTATGAACTGGACAATGAATACTGAATAATGGAACCTAGTGTAAATATCTTATTATCATTGATATTGTATAAAATTTTGCAGAAGTCTTTATTTGACATAAAGGCAATTATTTATTTGTAATCCTTTGAAATGTAATCTGTATTGCAAAGACTAAAGGACAGCTTATCAAATGTTACCTGGCATCACAAATTGTTCAAACTAGTAACATGCTATGAAATACATGCTATGTAAATATTGTTGCATCCCAACTTCTCACAATTAGTCGTCAATTCATAAGAGTTCCTAATGAAGTCAAAAACATCCAATTTTGACACAAAAGAAAACTATAAGAGCTGGCTATTTAAATCACCAAAATTCAAAATTCAACTTTTCTTATAAATTAATGATTTTTTATGTTTTGCTACAATATAATTATTGTTGGAATTAGTTACGTTATAATATAAACCCCCAAATGTGGAACCTTAAGACCCCTTTCTGGGTTCAGTGCAACATCTTTGTTGTTTGCTTGCTTTTATAAAAAAAATAGCATCAATGTAGAGACAAATTAAAATCATAAACTAAATATAGCTGGATACTAAGGAATGCTTTTAAGTACCAATTATCCTGTTTGCATAGCAGTTTTCTGAAATTTGTATTTTAAGGTTTAGGGAAAACGGATAATTTAAGTGCTTTATCTTAAACGTTTGATTCTATTTTAACTAGCCTTTTAGGGTGCTTCGCGCCCATCTTGTTCTCTTTGGCTTTAAAATTTTCAGTGATACATTCATGATTTTAGCATTTTAAAGAGTATGTATGACATCCAGTTACAAGTAAGGAAATATTTAAAGGGAATTAATTGTTTTAAAGCAAAAATTTTTATATTAAGCAAACATCTTTCTAAATTAAACTATAATATGCAAATTGAAAATCAAGATTTTTAGTCGAGATTTATTGATTTAACCTATTTCAGGGGTTTTAGAAATAAATAGAACATAATTTCTTTATATGAACATGAATGGGGGGTATATATCTTTGAGTATAAGATTGTGTTTGTAAACACAGTACAGACAAATACTATTTAAAGGGGTAGGAATAAACTAAACCAGTTCTTTAAAACCAACAAATTAGTTCAAAGATATTTTTTGCCTTTCTTATATCTTCCCTAGCACCTTAACAATTAAAAGTTAGCAGTCTAATTTTATTTTAATGATTTGGCTGTGAAAATTGGGCAATTAGGGATAGGGCTGGGCAATGTTCTATTAAAGAACAACAAGTTTTTGAAAGAAAAAAACGGAAGATTGCACTAAAATACAGTATAAAGCATACTAATTTTGAATTTTTTAACAAATTGTGCATTGTTGCTGGACAGATTTTTTGAAATCACAGAAATTTGAATATTTATTGTTAATATTTGCTATGCTTCATATGTTAAAATAAAAATATTTTCGGAATATATAAAAAATACTTTGCTTGTCTGACTGCTTGTGTCCAATACAATGTCAAAACAGCTGAACTGATAGGACCCAAACTTTGTGAGGGACCTCACATGAGACAGGAAAGGTTCCGGGATGCTCAAAATTACCAAAATGTGCGCCCAAAAGTTTTTAAAGTTTGTTAAATTTTGAAAAATGCCCGAAAAAAATTAAATCTGAGAACTTTTTTATTTTTGTTAAAAGAGAAAAGGAGAAGATGCTCAAAGATAAAGCCACAATTAAAAGTTAAAACAGAATATGGGAGTAAAGCGGCCATAAAGCCTAGTTTATAATAAAAACTTTAATTTTATTATCAATTAAAACAGCAAGATTTTCTGAATGCCCCATTTTCAATAATGTATTAATTTGCTAACAATTTAGTTATTGTAGATATGCATAATTTGCATAAAGTGAAAATTTTTATATTTTAGTCTTTATAGTACAAATTACAAATAAGTAATTGCCTTTATGTCAAATTAAGACTTTGTAGCGATGAAAGGAATAAGACCAAATGAATAAGACCAAATAAACTGACTGAATATATAATTATCAAAAACAGTATTTATACTAGATGCAGTATATCATAATCTAAACAATAACATGTGAAGTATGGAATATGCTGTGTACTGCATTCCAGGAATCCAGGGGCTCGATGTTTATCTCAGACTTCTCTTCCAGGGTTCCGTCGAACTGGGAGAGGAGAAGGCTGTTGAGATGAGAATCTAACTCTCTTCTTCATTCTCTGGGCTCTCTGGAGAGGTGCTGGAGAGGTTGGAGCCAACAGAGCTGGAGGTGACGGAGCCGGAGCCAACAAACTGGAGCCAACGGAGCCGGAGCCAACGGAGGTCTTCCACGTCGGGGAGGCAACTGTGGAACCAGAGGACAATCAGAAAGAACAGGTTTGAGCCGGTCCACGGAGACGGAGTGGGATTTAAAACCAATCTGGACTTGAAAATACTTTGGATACTTGGAAAGCACTAGATAAGGTCCTCTGTAAAGCGGAGACAACGGAGGCTTAGATGTATCTTCCCTGATGAACACATGAGAACAGGAAACTAAACTGGGAGGAATCTCATCTGGTTTCAGGGACGGAACTGTAGAATGATGAGGAAGGACTGTGAAACTATTCTTCAGGACTGATTGCAATCTCCGGAGATACTCCGAGGAAGGTAACTCTGGACTGTCCAGGAATTCTCCAGGCAACACCAACGGAGATCCAAAAAGGGTTTTGGATGCGGAGATGGCGGAATCTTCTCTGGGAACACTACAAAGACCGAGTAACACCAGGGGAAGATGATCAAACCAGTCTGCTCAGGACAATCTAGCTCTCAGGGATACCTTGAGACGGCGATGGAATCTCTCAACCAGGCCATTAGACTGTGGGTGGAAGGACGTGGTTGGTGAGTGAATAATCCCCAGGAACTTGCAGAGATTAGTCCAGATAGAACTTGTGAATTGTGCTCCACGATCAGAGGTAATTACAGACGGAACTCCAAATGTTGGAATCCAGGATCGGAGTAAAACCTTGGCACATTCCTCTGCTGTTGTGGATTGGAGAGGTATTGCTTCCGTCCATCCACTTGTTCTGTCCACGATGGTAAACAAGAACTTAAACCCAGAGGATTGAGGTAAGGGGCCAACTAGATCTACATGGAGATGAGAAAACCTCCGTCCAGGAACAGGTATAGGTTGGATGGGAGACTTGATGTGGGTTTGAATCTTGCTCCGTTGACAATCCAGGCAGGATTGAGACCATAAGTTAACATCCCTGGACAAACCTTCCTTCACAAAACTTCTTGAGATTAATCTTCTAGACGCATGTACACCAGGATGAGAGATATTGTGAATCGACGAGAAAACCAACCTTCTCATCTTCTCTGGAACCAGGGGGCGGAGGTTGCCCGTGGACGTGTCACAGAGTAGGATGGAACCTGAGAACGGAACAGAAATAACAGATAAAGTTGATGAACGTCTGAGTACTTCAATCTTTGGGCAGGACTGCTGTAGGATAGACATTTCGGAGAACGATATTCCTGGAACTGGAGGCGGAGCAACTGGTTGGAGTTCGGATATCAAAGTCGTTGGCGGAGGATTGTGTGGAACATCGCTGGACTCTGGACGGGACAGGGCATCAGCAACTACATTCTCCGGACCAGGAAGATGAAGGATCTCACAGTTGAACTCAGACAGGAACGATAATCTCCTTTGCTGCATGGCGGACCAGGGGAGATGTTCTAAACAACGCATATGTCAATGGTTTGTGGTCAGTGAACAAAATAAACTGTCTACCCTCTAGCATGAAGCGGAAGTGGCGGAGAGAAGAGTAGGCAGAGAACAATTCACGGTTGAAGGCGGAATACTTGCATTCTGGGGTGGATAATTTCTTGGAATAAAACGCCAGAGGGGCCCAGGAACCGGATACTTCTTGTTGTAAGACTGCTCCAACATGAGATCCAGAGGCATCCACGGATAAGGATATCCTGGCGGAGGGATCAGGGTGAACCAGAGTAGGAACATTTGCCAGGATGGATTTGGCAGCTGCGAAGGATTGGTTCATCTCTAGGTCCCAGGTTAGAGTTGAAGATTTACCTTTGAGAGCCTCAGTTAAAGGATGTAGGAGACTAGCTGCAGCCTTGATAAATCTTCTGTAGAAATTGAGAATCCCTAGAAACCTCTGTAAACCCTTCTTGTCTGTTGGACGAGGGAAGGCGGAGATAATCTCGGTGTGCTTCGTCAGGGGAATACATCCTGAACCTGAAACCCTCATACCAAGGAAGTCCACTGCAGGAGCTGCAAAAACACACTTGTCAGGGTTGATACTGAGTCCATGGAGTCGGAGAAGATCAAGCACGGTCTGAACATGTTCAAGGTGAGAGCTGAGGTCGGGGCTGGAGATAAGGACGTCATCCACATATACAAAACAGTAAGGAAGTCCTTGAAAAATCTGATCCATCAATCTTTGGAAGGTGCATCCACTGTTTCTGAGACCAAAGGGCATCCTCAACCATTCCAACAGGCCAAAGGGGGTGATCACTGCTGTCTTAGGCACATCTCTAGGAGCCATTAGAACTTGATAATACCCCTTGGTTAGGTCCAGCTTAGTGAATACCTTGGAACCATGAAGTCGAGATGAGAAATCTGCAATATTAGGAAGGGGATATCTATCAGGAACGGTTTGAGTATTCAGGCGGCGGTAATCGCCGCAAGGTCTCCAGGAACCATCCGGCTTCTTTACCATGTGCAAGGGACTCGCCCATGGAGAGGAAGAGCGTCGGATTATCCCTGCAGACTCCATGGCCGCAAACTCCTTCCTTGCGGATTCCAGCTTTTCTGCGTCAAGACAGCGGGCTTTGGCAAAAACTGGCGGGCCAGGCGATGTGGGGACGATGTGGAGGACTGGATGCCTTGGATCTGTGGTGAAAAAACCTTTGGAGGAGACGACACACTGTAAATATAAATCAGCAATATCTTTTAAAATTTGTTTCTTAATTTAATTTTTTTGATATAATATTCAAAAATTATGTTTATTTGAAAACTAAAAATATTTTTTCCTTTCATTAAGTTTTTTGTAAAAGATATGTTTTTTAAACAAATGAAATTTGAAAAATTACAAAAATTTTGTAAAAACATATTCATTCATTGTTGATTAAAAATTAACTTATTTTGACATTGATTTGTAATTTTTTTTAATAAAAAAAAATTCTATTATGAAATGAAATGAAATAAATCAAAATTTTAGGATAGGAGTTAGGGCGTATACCGGCCCCCGCC